ATGTCTGGGTGTAGATCTATTTTTGTTGTAGGTGGTTGGAGTTCTGTACGCCTCATTTATCTGGATATCATTTCTTTCTCCTATGCTTGGGAAGTTTTCCTTTAATATATCTGTGAATATTCTTTGTAGTTCATTTTTGGTTACTCTTACTTCCTCGCTCACATGCTTTATTCTTAAGTTATGTATCCTTTTGTCATCTTCTAGCCTTTGAATTGTTTCTTTCTGGTTCCTCATTATTTTTAAGAGGTCTTTTCTTTCACAATCATATATCATAAATCTCTCTTCAAGTTTCAAAAGGCTAACTTTAGTTTCCGTCAAGGCATTTTGCTAGTTTTCAATGGAGTTTTTAGTTTCCTGGTAATCTCTTTGGATCTGTTTCATGTATTCTAGGTTACGTTTAAATTTTTCATCAGAGGTTTCTCTTTCTTGTCTGATTTCCTCCGTTCTTCCATCTGTCTTTTCTTGGGAGGGGCTTATCATTTCTTTAATTAATCTCTTTATATCTTGCCTCACTTGGATCAGAAGTACAGTTTTAAATTCGTCTATGAGGTCATGAAGGTATTTCTTTATATCGGCTGATGATGTGTCTAGTATTGGATGGTTACTGTGCTGGTTCTCTTCTGTATTTACTTCTCCCGGGCTTATTTTCCCAGGTTCGGCAGCTGGAGATTTTTTTTTTTTTAATCTCTTGTCATGTTGCTGGTTTCTTTCAGACTGGAGTGTCCTGGGGGTCTCTGGCCCTCTCCATATTGCTTAGGGTCTTTCCAAAGCGTGCTGACTGGAGTTTTTGCTGCCCACCCCATTTTGCTGTTATCTGAGGTATAGGCAGGGATGCAGGGATGGTGCAGGCTAGCCTCTAGCCTCTGTGCCAGTCAATCCGCAAGTTAGGCTGTACCATGTGGATGTCACAGAGTCGCGACAATTTTGTGTCTGCTTATTGGGTCCCAACCAGAGGCGTAGTTCAGCCCCAGCAGACCCTGCCAGTTCTCTCTGCAGCAGGGGTGGCTGACTTATGTCACTGCAGTGCAGTGCTCTGCCCAGATCCAAGCTGTCCTCCACCAAACCTCTCTGTGCCAGGGGCAACTATCTGATGTCACTGTGGTGCCAGGCTCTGCCCAACTCCAGGATGTTCTCCACCAGTCCTCTCTGTGTCACTGATGTCACCGCGGTGCAGGGCTCTACCCAATTCCAAGATGTCCTCCAGCCAGCGACAGCAGCCACGGGACCCAGTCCCTAGTACTCACTGGGCCTCAATGTAAATCTTCCTCTTTTTCACTGCACACTGTGCAGCGCGGCTTCACTGCATTCCCAGCACAGTGTGGATCAGTCAGAAAACTGCACTGTGTCTGGCTTTGGAGCCCAGGAGCTTCACACAGTCTCTTCTGGCACGGCCAGGTGGCTTTGGCTGCTTCGTGGGGCCCCAGGTCTCAATTTCCAGCAGTCTCCGAGAAGCAATATAGCTTTTCCCCTTGGATCCACTGCTCATTGTGCCATGTCCTCCCATTAAGGGATTCGCCAATTCCTGTTATCGGCAGCCACGGTCTCAGTGCAACCTTGGATGTCCAGGTGTGCCTCATACAGTGCAGACGAGTCTCAGCATGTTGGGCTTCAGCTCTCCACCTGCACTTTTCCTTCCTCTTCCATTTTTATTTTCCCCTTCGGTTATCGCCTTGGCTAATAAGAATCGTTATCCATTCATCTGGCCCTCTCCATGTTGTCATATTCTAGCATCTGATCTGATTTCTCTGCAGAGACTCTGCACCCAGCCCCCTAGCAAGCTACCATTTTTTTCTCTCTCCTAGGTTAACATTTTATTGTTGCAGTGGTGCCAGGGCTTCGCCTATGCTAGGCAAGTGCTAAGAGCTACACCACCAAGCCACATCCCACATTCTTGTATACATGTCAGAGGAGCATGCCTACAGACCCTGAAAGTATGGGCTGAGTAAAAAAATAATAGATAGACATTGCCTGGATAAGCAATACATTACAAATGTACTGTTATTAACCTAATTATTGAGTCACTCAGGCCACCAAGGATGCAGATTTTTTCCCTTAGAGCCAAACAGTTTAATAGCTATGACAAATTTTTCCATAGGGTGGAAAATCTGGGAAGGTCAAATTTTCTGTATGCCTGACAAGGGTGTCCTGAACATAATGCCTTTGGCAAAATTATTTATATATGCTGCTTACTATCTTATATTTGACTTATAGCTGCTTTTTCTTATTAGACCAGTTGGAGTTCTCAGAGCTACAGTCAAATTTTATTTCCTCCTTGAATTTTCTACTTCCTACTTCTGCCATTTCCTCCATGGGTCCCCAGTGGTTACCCAAAATGGGATCATGGCATCTGCTTACCCCTCTCCCAGTCAGTACCTGTTGAGTGCCCAGCGTGCAGGTGTTTTATCCAGCTCAGAGGATAGAATGGTGAACAAGACAGACAGCTGGAGATGACAAGCCACAAGGAGTGATATGTGACAGGTGTACTGGAGCCTGAGAGGCATCACCTGAGCCCTGTACCCACCTCGAGGTGGGCCAGGGAAGAGGGTAGAGATCTGAGAAGAGAAAGGTGGCTAGGTAAAGGGAGCTTGGAGGGGACAGAAAACAGCCTCCAAGGAAAGGTCTTTAGACCCAGGGAAGATGGGAAAGAAGAGCTAAGGACCAAGAAGGAAGAAGACAGGAATTCAGAAATACTATAATTGTTTAACAAGAGTGCAGCAGTTTATTTTATGGCATACAAAGTGCAAGAAATGTCACATTTTCTATTTTTCCAGGTTTCATTGTGGCCTGTGAGAAGTCTTTAAAAGTTTCTCCTCTCCTCTGGACTACATGAAAACCCACAAGTTTTCAAGGGCTGCCTGGAGGTGGGGTCTGGGCTCTAGCTGAGTGGCTGAATCCTGGCCTGGCTCACGACCTCACTGTCAGGCAGGCACCTCCTTGGTTTGCTGAAGATGCCCAGGGCTCAGGGTTCCCACACTCCCCCTTGGGCCCATCCTTCAGGAAAAACATGTCCCCAAGAACTCAAGGCTCCCTTACACCTTTGCTACTTCCTCCTCTGTCTCAATCAGCTAGCTCCTATTTAGGCTTAGACTATCCAGCTGCAAAAGTCTGAGAGATGCTGTCAACAAGGATGGGAGTGATGGGGGACAGAAAAAAGTAGACAGGTGTTGATTTCCTCCGTGGTGTCTTCACTAGAAAACATGTAGACCTAAGGTGTCAATACAGCCTCACCATCCCACCCTGATTATACCTATATTAGCAACTGCTTGTTGGCCAGACATTGTATCTACACACTCTGCAGTCTCCAAACATTACCTTGCTTACTCTTACAGCAACTTCCAAAGGCAGTACAACTGTCATATCACCTCTCAGATGAGAAATGGAGCCAGAAGGGGTTATGCTCCAAACTCATTTGGATCTAAACAGGCCTTCTTGACCTTCACTGTCCGTTACAATCACCTGCAGCTTTGTCCTGATGCCTGGGGCCCCACTCTAGACCAATTACGTGGTATAGGGAGGAGACAACAGTATTTTTACAGTTCCCCAGGTGATGCTGCAGTGCAGTCCAGCCAAGCCCCATTGATCTGGAGTCCCTGCCCTGGAGGTATCAATGCCTGAGACCCAGAGCATTGGATGAAGGATGATAGGTTAGATGATGAAGGGCTCAGCTTACGAAATCTGGGACACCAAGCTTCTCTGGGTCACTCAGGTGGAAATATTCACCTGAAAATATTCAGAGGGGCAATGGGATGAGTCTTGGGGCCTGGGAAAATCAGGCATAGGCTCCCAGTGGCCAGCCAAAGCCACAGAGATGATGGATCTATGTGTGAACAAACAGATCTTATATCACAAAGTGAACAACTGCATCTTGGCCACTAGGGAAGCTCTCTAAGGCCACTGTCACTGATTAGGTCCCCCTGAGGGTCTGATGCTCATGCCCAACCATTAGACTGGCTAATTTGGAAAACATGACAAAAAACTTGTAAGAGGAAAACATAAAACAATATGCCACAAATAAGGTGATCAGGAAAGGTAGCAAAATATTTTCTTCTGCCTCCTCCCTCATAGTTGGTGACTCTGGGCCAAAAAAAAAAAAAAAAAGCAGAGATATTTATTCATCAAATGCTGGAGGTGGAGGAGCCTTAGATACATCCAGAATTTTGCTTTTTCTGAGGTGGTCAGGATCAAACCCAGAACCTTGCATGTGCTAGGCAAGTAAGCACTCTACCACTGTGCTATATCCCCAGCTTGGTTAGAATTTTAAAGTAAACACAAAATTAAAAAAAAAAAACTCAAAACACTGAGGTTAAGTGATAGCCAAGAGCTCAGTTGAAACCCTGCTTTCTGATACTGAGGCCTTATCCCTCCGAGTTGAGGGCTGAGAGAAGCCCCCAACTCCCTGGCACTCAGTCCTCTGAATTCACCAGCCCACAAAACGCCTTCTCTGGCAGGGCAAGGTTTTCACAGTGCATTCTGAAAGTGTGCTTATTACAAAATGCCGCGCCCCAGGGGAAATCCTAGCAACTACATTCTTTTTTTTTTTGACAACTCCCACACCAAAACAGTACTTTATTAATTTTGACCCACTATTACTCCCATGTTGTGGTTTTCCTAAGGTATCAAGTGTACAAGTTGAAGACATATTAGATGGGGGGGGGAGAAAGGGTTGCACCTGCAAAGTAAATTTCTTCAACTCCATACATTTCAAAGCTGCTGGGCCCCAAGTCCATCTCTGATCTCCAGGGCTACCAGTACACTATGTGTAGCACATTGAAGCTACACTATCTGAATAGCTTATTATTCTGCGTAAGTCAGGTCAAGTGACAGGTCAACCTGTAACAGACTGTACATTTTAACTGAACATGGCAAAATAGTCACTCTTTTGAACTTTACATCATTATCTGATGTCAAGCAATGAAGCAAATCCCAACAGTATATACAAAAAACAGCTTTGCATTTTACAAAAAAATTGTTTCCCATACTGATTAATCCAGGCAGCTACCTCATTGGTTTATGCAACTTTATTGAAGAAAAATAAATCAATTACTAGCAGAGCTTTTAGTTGATCACTCATCCATTGACAACTTGCATCATTTACTCAGTGCTATATTAAACAGTGTATTGGAAGATAGATTAACTAATAGCTCCAAGCCTCCTAACAATTTAAATGAAAATTACAAAATGTTTTGAGACCCTATTTTGGAATACAAAGGGTGTTCTGAGTTCCAATTTCCATTCTCTGTAAGAACAAGGTCATTCCTTTATTGACATGCATAAAATACATCACATTTTCTGTTCTGCTCATGCTATAATTCAATACCAATTCTCCAGCCACATCAGTTATGAGCATAAAGTATATCACGTAACCTCAAATCTCTAACAATGGAAGGTTTAACAAGAATGGATGCTGCTAGAATAATGTTGCTTCCTTGCCGTGACAACCAAGCATCCATCTCCCCGCTAGATGGCTTCTTCAGCAGTTAGAGCTGTGAGGAATGGTTTAGTCTCATAACCAAGTTAGAGTGAAGACATTGGCCACATAATACACATGCTCCATTTTTTAAAAAAATTCTGAATCTTGGGCAACTGTTCTCTTGTAACTACTTTACAGTTTCTAAAAGCAGTTATTGTCCAAAGCTGGAAGAACTTAAGTCTTCTCAGATGAGCATGTGAATGAATGGAGGGAGGTAAACACAAAATAAAATTTAAAAAGATGAGGTCTGATAGGGGAGCAGCTGGATAAGAAAATCAAAAAAGAAACAGTAATTTAAAGTTTATTCCAGCTATAATGCAGGTTATTCTGATTTTAAGGTACCATCACATGGCATACTTCTGAGTCCATTCTCGAGATATTCTGTTGTACTTGTCTCTGTCTGTTTTATAGATCCGTGCAATCTCTGGCACTAAGGGGTCATCTGGATTTGGATCACATAGCAGTGAACAAATGGATAAAAGAACTTTAGAAATAGTTAAAGCAGGAGACCACTGTGATCTTAGAATATCGAGACAAATGCTGCCATTACTGTTAATATTTGGATGATAAATTCTTGTTGTAAATGCAACCTTAGGTGGTTTGAAGGGGTAGTCTGTAGGAAAATGAATTGTCAAAAAGAATACACCGCCTTGATATGGGCTGTCATTAGGTCCCATAATTGTGGCTTGCCAATGAAACATGTCATCCCCAACTGGGCCTGCAGAACATTGTGCTGGAGGGTCATGGGCCAAATCACTAAGTTCCTTATTAATCCACTTCAGCGCCACGGTCCATGCTGTCCTGGCCCTCGGTGTCCGCGTGTTCTCGGTCCCACCACGTCTGGATGGTCCTCCGCTCTCAGCGGCTCAGACATGGCCCTCAGACTACGCCGACTGGAGGTCGCGCCTCGCGGGTGGGGGCTGGGGACGGGTCATGGGGTAGCAACTACATTCTTAACAAGTGCCCCTTATGATTTGGTCACATAGGCATGATCGAGTGGCCCATAAAAGCGTGCTCTTCTCTCTCCTGGAAACTGACATTGTTTTAATAGACTCCCAAAGCCTCGGGTTCTTGATAAACTACAAATGCTGTGCTCTCTCCACCCAGCCTGCTGAGCTGCACATACTTTTACCAGTCAGGTCTATTCCTTGGGTAGAGCAGAAGAGAAACTGAGTTTTCCTGGCCAGACACTGAAGCTGTCCTGCTGTGTTCAGCACCTGGGGGCAGGACAGAGCCTTGCTGCAGGCATCCAGGAACCTCAGAATGATCAGGGTTTTTTCGTTGTTTTATTGAGACAGGGTCTTGCTATGTAATATAGGTTGACCTTCAGCTTACTATGTAGTCCAGGCTGGCTTTGAACTCGAAACAATCTTCCTGCCTCAGCTTTCTGAGTGCTGGGATTCCAGTAGGTGTACACCACCATGTCCCATTCATCCCATTCACTTTTACTGAGTTTTGACAAATTATGCTCTAGAAAGACTTCAGCATGTCATGTTATTGTTACAGGTGTTGGTGCCCCAATAAATATACTTCTTTAGCTCGAACTCAAATTTACATAGGGAGAAAGTAATTGATTTGGCTTTTGGGGAGTTTATCATTTGCAATCAGAAAACTAGGCAGGTGTATTTGACAAGTTTATCTTTTGTGTTCCACAGATATTCAGTAAGACTGGGTTTGGTTACAGGTAAACTCCTCACACAGTGGCTTACTGAATTTGTTGTTTGTTGACTCACATGGTAAAATGACTACAGGTTAGGGAGTTGCAGGTTAGGGAGTTGCTTAAAGGTAGTAGGGCTGAGGGCCCTGCAGTTCTACTGGCCCTAACCCCATGATGCAAGATGACTATAGTAGTATAGTACAAGCTATCAGGTCTACCAGGAAAGGAAAAAAGAGGTGAGGAAACCCAATGAGAAATCCCAGCAGGTATTCTCCTTACGTCTCTTTTGTCAGAAATTGTGTCATGTGGTCACTTCTAAGTGTAAGGAAGGCTGAGAAAGATTGCCTTTTTAGTTGGCAACATTGCTGTTTCCAATAGAATTAGGACTTTTTAGTCAGAAAGAAGGGGGAATCTGGGATTTGTGGCACCTACCCGTAATTGAAGCACTCTGGGAGGTTGAGACGGGAGAATTGCAAGTTCAAGACCAGCTGGGGCAACTCAGTGACTTAGCAAGACCATCTCAAAAAATAAAAAGAGCTGGAGGTATAGCTCAGTAGGAAGGCCCCAGTTTCAATGTGTGTGTGTGTGTGTGTGTGTGTGTGTGTGTGTGTGTGTGAATGTTTGTTTAGCAAGTGACATTCTCTGATCAGGTATCCTGACACTGTTTTTGTTTTTCACAGTACTGGGGATTGAACCCAGGACAGGAATACTAAGCAAATGCCATATTATACTGCTATATCCCTCTAATTGCCCAACCTTCTGAGTGGTTGGAAGGTGCCATCTCCCCTGGCCTGCACTGTTTTTATTTTACCTATTTTTTGTGATACTGGGGATCAAACTTGGGGCCTTTGCACTGAGTTCCCCCAACCTTTAAAATTTTGAGACAGGGTCTCACTAAATTGCTCAGACTGGGTTTGAATTTGCAATTCTTCTGCCTCAGCCTCTGAGTCCTGGAATTATAGGTGTGTCCACTATGCCTACTTCTGGCACTGTTTTAAAGTGACAGCACACCAAAAGAGAAGGCAGGAGACAATTAGTGTATAAGAACTACCTCTGGCTTCTCCTTTGGCAAAAGCCATCTTTTTCAGCTGTTCCTTATTCAACAGTTACTCTGGCACATTTCACATTTTTAATTTTTTTTTTAAGACTGGTGAGAAAATTGCAATTTACAAGTGGGAAGTTAGTCTCAATATATAATTGCCCTTCTTGCCGCTCACCATTGTTTTGTTCCTATAACTGGTGAAATCTGCTACCCAAGAACAATTAGAGGCCCTGATGTCATCTTGCTGCATGGCTAAACCTGCGTTAATGAGGGAAGTGAAGATGCCTGGCGTGTAAATATGTCATTTCGCTGCTCGCGTGTAAATATGTCATTTCGCTGCTCACCTCTTGGTGTTCAGGTCTCTAAGCTGGTGGAGGAGATGAAGTATTTCTCAAATCCACCCCCTCATGTTGCCATAGAACCACTTTTTCCCTCCACTTTTATGAACGCTGAGTCTCCGAGGCAATCCCCTTCCTTCATCTTTTACTCTCTTCCTGCACAGGGGGCGAACAGTCTAACCCAGCTCTACCCATGCTGACAAGTAAAACATTCTCCATATCCAAAGTGCCAATGACTTTGTTACTTCTATTTTTGGGGGAGGTGGGGAGTTGAGGCAGGGTCTTGCTATGTAGTCTAGGCTGGTTGTGAAATCACTATGTAGTCCTGGCTGGCCTCAAACTCATGGCAGTCCTCCTGCCTCGGCCTCTAAACTATTGCCATTACAGGTGTGCACCACCACTCTTGGATTTGCAACTGATATTTTAGTCATCTCCTTTTTGAGTACTGAGATATAGGGTAGGGGTGAGGGAGTATTTTTTTCTTTCTGAAGCAGTCTTGATGAGTTGCCCAGTTGGGCTTGAACTTGCAAATCCTTTGCTTCAGCCTCCGAGTGCCAGGACTACAGGTGTGCCTCACCACGTGCAATTAGAGCTATAGATGTCTGAATGTAGTACATTGTTTTTCTTTCCCAGAATGCCCATATCACAAGCCCCTGGGTTTCGAGTCAGGGGAAGTTACACCAGACCAGATCACCTGCTCTAATCCAGAGCAGTATGTGGGCTGGTATTCCTCATGGACTGCAAACAAGGCCCGACTCAACAGCCAAGGTTTTGGGTAAGTAGAGCAGTCAGCCTATGTGTTTTCTTTGCTTCTAAAATACAGGTCTCTAATAAATGAATAGCATAGAATGCACTTAATTATTCAACAAATACTGAGTGTGTTTCGCGTGCCAAGGACTGGTCCAGCAGTGGTAAAGACAGATGAGGCAGGGGCTGGGAATTTAGCTCAGTGGCATAAGTGCCTGCCTTGCAAGCAGGCAGTCGTGAGTTCGATCCCCGGTACCAATAAAAAGGAAAAAGACAAAAAAAAAAAAAAAAAAAAAAGACAGATGAGGTATTTGTCTTCAGGAGGCAGTTTTGAGGAGACATCATGCAAGGGACTGCTCAGTAATGTGACAAGTGCTGTGGGGAGATGAAGGAAGAGAGACCTCATTATGCTTTGGAAGAACCTCAGAAGGCTTTCTAAGGGAAAGATATTTAACCTGAGGCTTGCAGATGGCCAGGCAAGGGAAGACAAGATGCATGGGCTATAGCAGGTGCAAAGGCCAACCTGGAATGGTATCTTCTGGCACTGGCAGCCTCTCCAAAGCCAGTACCTGCTGGTGTTTTGCAGGTGCTCACAGGGAAGGGCTCCTGGTGACTTGGTGTTTCTGGCAGGTGCGCTTGGCTCTCCAAGTTCCAGGATAGCAGCCAGTGGTTACAGATAGATCTGAAGGAGATTAAGGTGATTTCAGGGATCCTCACCCAGGGGCGCTGTGACATTGATGAGTGGATGACCAAGTACAGCGTGCAGTACAGGACTGATGAACGCTTCAACTGGATTTACTACAAGGATCAGACGGGAAACAACCGGGTAAGTGAGGCTCATATCCACTGGTTTCTGTGCTCTTGTCATTGCTGTATCAGAGCACTGACACCACAGCATCGTGGGTCATCTGTGCTTTTTCCCCCAAATCTGGGCTGCTCTCTTTTCTTTCTGGCTGGAGGTTCGGTGTCCAGCAGTTTGTTAGAGGATGCTGTTCTCTTGTGCAAAAGGAATATTTGTTTCCATTCTCATACCACTGAATATTGCAGTTGCCTGAAAACTGAAGACTGGCCACTTCTAAACTCACTGGGTCACTGAACATACTTTTTCATGAGTTTGGCTTGATATGCTATCAATGTGAGTAGAAAGGTATCCATTTGTATAGATATAGCCTCTCATTACTATTAAGAAAACTTTTGACAACCTAGCAAGTTAGCTATTTCATTGCATAAATGATTATTAAAAGAATTCTATCAGTGCAATCAGAGATACTGAAACATTTGGGCAACTCTATACCCTATTAATCTTTGAGGGCTAAGACCAAAGTCATCTTCACCATGGACACATTTGACTGCTATCTCTGTCTCTCTTTATCTCTCTGTCTATGTCTCTCTCTCTACATATTTGTAAAGAGTAAAAATAAATTTAAAACTACTGGCTGTTTGGAAATGTTAGCTATTCTTTTGCCTAAGAATAAGGAATTCCCCAGGTCAATTTTTGACATTTAATCAGGTGAAGTAAATGTGTGTGGCTGAAAATAAGGCTTTGTAGTTTCTGATGACAATTTGCCCAGTGAATTGGGTTTGCTCATGGGTAGAGGTTTGAAGAATTTTATAACAATGGAAAAATCCATCTTGATCCTTGCACATTTAATTTCATTTTTGTCCTTATTAGTTGGCTCTCCAAGAGACATCAGAATGCACTCAAGTCCCATACTTCTGAAGTCCTTGACATTTCACTGCAAGAAATAGTCTACTCCATTCTAGCACTTATGCAATTTGATGGAGCCTGCTCTATTGTCCCTTTTCACATGGCTTCTACTTGAACAGGCACAAGGACAAATAGCTCAGAGGGCAGTGTGGGGCACTACACTGGAGAAGAAAGGCAAGATCATGGCAGACCAAGTCTGTCTTATTTTGTGCACTGGTAAGGTCAAATATAATAGATTTTTTTCAGGAGAGGATCACAGAAGGAAATGTAATGTTCTTGTGTTGTACAGGAGAATACAGTGACTCTGGAAAGAGTACAAAGAATGATTTCTTCAAAAATACTGTCAAACATCCCCTGCAAGTCTTTGTTACTTCTCGAAAAAACAAAACTGTACTCTGGCACTGTCCTCTTTCCAGAATTTTTCATCTACTTTTTGGTGGGTTTTTTGTTTGTTTGGTTTGGTTTGGTGTAGTGCTGGGGATCAAACCCAGGGCTGTGTGTATACAAGGAAAGAACTCTACCACTGAGCCACATCCCCAGCCCCTGGTTTGTTTTTAAAAATATTTTCTAACAGGTATTTGTCACTTGTATCAAAGTGAATACAGACATTTAAGCTTTGCATCACAACTTCAGAGCCGGGCCTAAGTTTTTACTTGAGCCCATATTTTTGGATACCTTTGGAACATTGGGACATTCTTGTGCAAAAGGGCTTTTACAGATTTCCTTGTCAAAATGTAGAGGATAAAAGCATAAAATTGGTGGTAAGAATTGAGGCATTTTTTCTATCAGTACCATCCATTAGGACTTTCTGTGATAATGGAAATGTTCATATCTGTGCTGTCCAATATGGCACTACTGGTCCATGTAGCTGCTAACCACTTGTGGTGTGGCTAATGTGGTCTGGGAGAACAGATTGGTGGTAGAACATTTTTTTTCTTTTGTTGGTGTAGTAGGTGCTAAACCTAGGGTCTGGACCCAGGCCTTTTCAAAAAAGGTGGGTTTTTTGGTTTTGTTTTGTTTTAATTTGGACAGTCTCAGTAAATTGCTAGGTTTTTCAGAATGGGTTCAAACACTGACCCTCCTGCCTCATCCTTCTAAGGTGCTGGGATTACAGGTATACACCACTGTACTCTGTTATAATTTTAACTCATATAAATTTAAAAAATACATGTGGCCAGGCAGGCTAGCATATTGGATGGCACAGTTTCAAATGTCCCATATATTCATAGATGCCTTTAGCATGTAGCTGTACTCAAGGTAAGATTTTAGGGGCGCTGGCAAAGTCTCGGCACTTTAACTACTAAGATTCTCCAGTTAAAAATTGGGGCTAGTTCCAGATAGAAGTTGTCCCTCTTTTTCTTGGCAGATGTGTTGGTGACTGGACTTTCCCCCCTCTTTTTAGGTCTTCTATGGAAACTCAGATCGAAGCTCCACAGTCCAGAATCTTCTGCGGCCCCCCATTATTTCGCGCTTCATCCGGCTGATCCCTCTGGGTTGGCATGTCCGCATTGCCATCCGGATGGAGCTGCTGGAGTGTGTTAGCAAGTGTGCCTGACGCCTGCTCCGGCTTGGTCTGGCCAGGGGTGGGGGACCTGGTGCACCAATGTGATCAACAGAACTGTATGTTACAAGCACTTTTAGATGCAGGGCTGTGTAGAGAATCTTTCTTTACTTTCGTTCGTTCTTTTTCTTTCTCTTTCTTCTTTTCTAAATATAGTTTCCCATTTCAATGAAAAAGAAAAATGAACTTTTTCCTCACTCAAGATCAAAGAAAAAAAATATCCTCCAAACCATTTTTTTTTACAAAAGCCTAATGGGTAACTGGATGCTACTCTTTCATTCTCTTTTTGTCTCAGTAACACTGTGAAAGATACAGTCCCAGGGGAACATACAGCAGCCCAGAAATTTGACAATTCTTTCTTGCCCTTCCATATTCCAAAGTGGAACACCCAGTGGTCACTTTTGACGGCCAAAGGAGAGCAGGCTTGAAGTTATTTTCATAAAATTGTGGCTAAAGAGGTCTGCAGAGAGACTGCTAGGTAGCAAAAAGTTTTGAGGTTGACTGCATGGCAGGCATGAAGGAGGTGGATGGGAGCATGTGGCCTGTCCCACAATTGTCCTGGTCTTCTGAGGCCTGCACACAATAAGTGACCAAATATCCAGGGTAGGAGACCCTCTCCTGCTCCGAGTTTACACCCTGAAGTGGTGGTCTGAGACTTTAGATGCGTGAGAAGGGCAGAGCTCCCATGACACACAGTTCTATCACACAACCCATTCAGGCAGGCTGCCCAAGTCTGTGGTCACCTTTAGGTGGCTGCATGGGACAGGCTGCCTGTGTAAGTAGTACTGAAGAACCTCAAGTGACCAGAACACAGCAGAATTTCCTCAGCAAGGCTATCACTTTTTGACAAGCTCAACATGTGGAAAAAGAGCAGGCACGGAAGCTACACTGGTGACTTAGAGGCCCATGATACATGCTTCGGAGGAAGTGATCAGGACTCATGTCACAAAAAGGACTTCTACTCTGGAGGCTTCTCACCCTCCAAACTCTGCCTTGTGCCACCCAAATATGCCATTTCCTAATGCATGAAACCTCCTGGGAAGGAATGATCCTAGCCTGCCCTTTTCTTGCTGTCAGAGCTTATCTGGTGGGCAGCTCATGTGAAATGCAGCCAGTCTCACTGTTCCTCTGTAGGTCTGTCTGAGTTCCAGGTTGTTCCCTGGGAGAGGCTTGTGAACATGGGGATGAAAGGCCCAGGAGGGTGGAATCAGACATGAGGACTTTCCCGAGACTGTCCTGACCCTGGACACAGCACAGCTTTTGCTAGCAACTCTTGAGTTACTTTCCATTTTCAAACGCTGATGTGAGTGAATGAACCCACACTAGCACAACCCTGGATAACCACGCTCAAGTCCTCTGTGACTGTGTGGCCTCCTTAAAGTTTCAACTCTTTTGCCTGGTATTTGGGGCTCAGAACAGTTTTATATTAGAGCCAACATCTCTCTAATCCCCACGCCTTAGATGAATGCTTTTTCATGCTGTCTTCTTTCACATGTAAGCACATCATTTCAGGAGAACTGAGGAAAATAGTTCTGGCCTTAGGACAACATGGATAAATACATTTTGGACAGAATGCCTGAATACATTCTTATTTGGAAAACTGAATTAACTTTTCTCATGGCATGCATTGTCAGAAAAAATGGCAACTGCCTAAGAGATTTCCACAACTATCACTATCAAACATGGAAGGCAAACAAGTATAACAGTTCAGGGTAAAAAGGAACAAATCACTATGAAGGATGGATGAAGGTTCTTCAAATTATTGCTTACATTGGAAATTTTTGTTTTGTAATGTCTTTATTGAGATAAAGTCCACATATACAATCTTCCCCCATTTAAAATGTACAATTTAATGACTTTTATTTCTGTATAATAAAGTTCTACAACCATGATTATGAGCAATTTTATCACCCTAGAGCGTACCCATTAGCAAGTACCCACGCTATTTCTAGGCAACTACAATCCATTTTCTGCTTCTATGTAGATCTCCCTTTTCTGAACATTTTCCAGTATAAATGAAATCATACAATATGTGGCCATTTTTTGACTGGCTTCTTGTATTTAGTGAAATGTTTTGAAAGTTCATCCATGTTGCAGTACATAACACTCCATTCTCTTTTATAGCTGAATATCACTCCATTGTATGGATAGACCACATTGTTATTTATCCATTCATCCCTCGATGGACATTTGGGTTGTTCCCACTTCTTGGCTATCATGAATAATGCTGCTAAGAACAGTTGGATGTAAGTTTTTAATGTGGACATGTTTTCATTTATCTTGGGTATAATCCTGGGAGTCAAATGAATGAGTCGCACGGTGAGTCCATGTTTAACCTTTTGAGGAACTAGTTTTCCAAGTGGTTGCACCATTCGCCATTCCTACCAGCCATATATAAGGAGTCCAATTTCTCCATATGTTCAGCAATGCATGATTGTCTTTCTTTATAGTCATTGTAGTATGTGTCAAGTGGTGTTTTATTGTAGTTTTGATTTGCATTTCTCTAATGACTAATGATGTTAAGCACCTTTTCATGTGTTTAACTGGCCATTTATATATTTTAGATAAACAGTTATCTAGATCCTTTGCCCTTTAAAACTTGGCTTACAATTTATTACATTATAAGAATTTTTGGAGGTTCTAGAGAAAATTCCCTTATCTGGTATGTGATTGCAGTTGTTTTTCCAATCTGGGATTTTTTAAAAAATTTTTTACTCTCGATGGAATCCTGTGAGGCACTAAAGTTTTTAAATTTTAACAAAGGTCAATTTATTTTTCTCTGTTTGTTCTTTTGGTGTCATTATCTAAGAAATCACCACCAAATCCAGGGACATTAAGATTTACTCGTGTTTTCTTCTAGAAGTTTTACAGTTCTATCTTTTACATTTAGATCTTTGAACCATTTTGAATGAAATTTTTTGTGTGGTATAAGGCAGGGGGGCATTTTTTTTTGCATGTAGACATCCAGTTGTTCTGGCACCATTTGTTGAAAAAATAACCTTTTCCTACACTGAATGATTTTGGTGTCCTGTCATGAAAATCAATTGATCATAAATGTGAAGGTTTACTTCAGATATCATAATTCTATGAACTGGCCATCTTTATTACTGGATCTTTGTATTAAGTTTTGAAACTGGGACATATAAGTGCTCCAACTTTGTTTTGACTATTGTGGATTCCTTGAACTTCCATATGAACTATAATTTCTACAAAGAATCCAGCTGGGGTTTCAATCGAAACTGCTCAATACTTCAGAACTTAATAAACAATGAAATACTGAGATCTGTAGAACATTTATCTGCAGGTAATTTGCTTCTGACAGCATACTAATTATTTACTTCATTAAACTCACAACAGAATGTATAAAAATAAAACTATTACTGAGGAAAATCTGAAGCCTAACCAAATCTTCTTGTTAAACATATGTACAATGTTTGTGGTATCATTTCTTTTATGGAGGAAAAGTTCAATTAAAAAATATAATGCAGCAAAAAGTCACCTTATTTTGACATGTTTACTTTTATTTTTAGAAATGCTAGAGTGTGGTCTACACTTGGAGATTTTTAAAAACTATGGTAAAATATACACAACATTTTGCAGATTTTTAAGTAATTAAACAAAATGTTATGAACAAAGAAGTAGCATTAAGTGTTGCCAAATATCAAGAAAAAAATCTGAGCTGAATCTGGTACTCGGTATGGGAAGAGGTCACTTGGACAAAGCAAAGGTATTCAAAATGGAGGTACTTCTTTGAGTGCATTCTTAGAGCCAAGAAGATTGCACCCCTAAAGAACTTTTAAACAAATGCTGATAGAAGCCTACTTCTTTGTCCACTTGAGTTGTGACTGCTGAGGCCTGCTGACAAATAGTTTATGCAGACTGCTGCTTCCCTTGTGATCCCAAGAGTAGCTCTAAACTGGGCCTTTCTTGCCTTTTTTTTTTTTTTTTTGTCTTTTTCGTTTTTATCAGTACCAGGGATCGAACTCACAACTGCTTGCTTACAAGGCAGGCGCTTATGCCGCTGAGCTAAATTCCCAGCCCCTAAACTAGGCCTTTCTTGACAACCACTTTACAGGACTAATATGAAGATCACATAGGATATGTGTGTTGAAAGCATTTAGCAGCTACCCACCAAACTAACTGCACATAAAATTCAGTAACAGTCTTTCTCAACTTCACGGAGCTGCCAACTGGGGTGCAAATAATAGCAATAATGTTATAACAACTGAGTGGGATGTAATCAAGAACTTTGCAGCATCTCAGTAGATGCTTGCAATAACCCTAAGAGGTACATACTATGATTGTCTCCAATTAAAGTTAAGGAAACTGAGGCATGGGGAAGGTAAATGACACATGGTTTAAGCGATGGAGTCAGGACTCTGCTCAGGCAATGTGACTTCAGAGGGATTTTAACCTCTTCATCAGAGTCCCTTGGCCTCAGAAATATTCTATTGTTAAATCAAATCAGTTACCATGTGCTTGAAGATAAGATGGAAAGCAGTACATGAATTGTTCAGAGCTTTCAGAAAAGAATACATTGTATATTATGAGGGCTCACTGTTGCTTCCTTCAATTAGTGTACCTAACCATTCATAAAGACAGCCTTTTCTAAATGTGGAACCCCTTTCCTTCAGTTGACTACTCATCATTTCTGCAGCTAGAATCCCTTTGGGCAAGTATTTTAGTGTTTTTTTTAATCGGTACTGGAGATCGAACTCACAACTGCACGCTTGCAAGGCAGGTGCTTATGCTGCTGAGCTAAATCCCCAGCCCTGGGCAAGTATTTTTATATGCTCTGTATTGAAACTTTTTGAAAAGGCAGATTCTGGAGTAACTTGAATGAAACTGATTTACTAAAGGAAAAACAGTGTCTGAAAGTGGCCACTATCACTCCGTATCAATTTTATATGTGGAGGGGCAGTGGCTGCATTGTGTAAGGGTACAGGCATTATAGTAAACATACTCAGCTTCAAAAGTGTCACTTCTAAAGTGGGTGACCTTGGGCAAGTTACTGTAAGTTACTCTTTGTTCGTCTATAAAATGGAGATAATAATAGTACTTGCCTCATTGGGCCTAACTGTAATAAGAAAACACTTGGCCCTGTGCCGGCCCATACTAAGAGCTATGAACATTAAAAAAATTATAAACCCCAGACACAAATGGTATCTCAGTTCATAAATGCAACTATTTCCACAATTCTGATTGTAAATCAAGCTGGACTAGAGCCAAATCAAATTCAATGGCAGGTTCAATATTGACCTTATAGAGAAATTTGATTCAGTTTTTGTCCAATTCAGTTTGCGAACAGAACGATTGAAAGAAATAAGTTTGTGAACTAAGGTTCCACTGAATTTGACTGAGTCTTAATAGAAGTATAACAAATCACATGTCACAGTTTTTTTGCCACTTACAAAGACACTCAGTAAAGAATCAGTTGACATAATGCAAAGCACTGTTTTAGCTCCTCTTTAAAAGAAAATTGGAGACTATTTTACATATACTACCACAAATTATAAATTCTTGCCCCCAGACTCAGCACTAGTTGGTTTTCTTACCATAAATGACAAAACAGAGGGGTTAAAATGGTGTCAGTAAATTCTGACCTGTTTTTGTGTATAAGGTTTTATTTGAATGCTGTCATGCTCACTCATTATGTATTCTGTAGTTGCTTTTGTACAACAATGGCAGAACTGAGTAGAGGTGACAGAGCCCCCATGCCCCCCAGATCCCCCAAATAGTTACCATCTTATGCTTTACAGGACGTTTGCTGCTCTAGAACAAGAAACCCTCCCAGAGCTGTCCATCTTTGCTTTCTCCATAGCTCAAGTGCCTGGCTGGGATCTCTTCCCATCCTCCTCAAATCACAAGTCAGCTCTTTGCAATGTGAACATGTGACAACACTAAAGTGTAAAAGAAACCAAAGTCTTCAAAATACCATAAGGAGAAAAGAACTTTATAAACAGAAAAAAAGAAAACAACATCATTAAGTAACAGGCTTTGTCTCACTTTACATTACTTTCTCTCCCTTAAACTGATTACAACTTCAAAGGCCCATTATCTCTCATTTGAATTGGAGCCCATTCTCTTTACAAAGAAGGAAACTAAAATGGTGCTGCCTGCTGTTCCAACACAAGAAGAACCACAGTGCTCAAGATTGGGACAGCCTGGCAGTCACATCGGTCAGTGCAAAATCTGCATTTTATTAAAGACATTTGGGAAGATCCATTCAAAAATACATTGTGCTCAGTAAAAATTAACCATATCATGCTAATAATGAAGATTACCACGAAGTAGATATTTGTATAATATTTACAGCAACAATAGAAATTTTACATAAGTTTAGAATGGAATACATGCCAGAAAAAACTTGATAAGATGTACCAACACATGATACAAAGAGTTATAGAAACACTTTACAAATGGTTCATAATTAGCTTGTGAGGAATTTAAGTATTCAACACTTTAAATTCAATTTGGATTCAAAAATTAAAAAGGTTAACAACCACATCACACACTTGCCACAGTAAAAAGTATGGAATTACATTTTATATAATGGGTTATAAAGTCTGTGCAATTAAGAATTACCACTGATTCTTCATCTACCACAAACTGGATGTCACATCCCTCTGGCTTATCCCTATTCTTGTTTTTAAAGAATGAACAGGGTCTCATTGTCACCCTGCCTATGTCTTCCCAGATACCCCCTTCAAACTTACTAGAGATTGAAGAAGCTCTGACTAGTAGTCTACCTATATACAGAATAACTACCTGAATTCAGAATGGCACAAAACAATTCTTGGAGATAGGAACTGGGGGTGACTGTTTTGTTTGGCTTAACTGTTTCTGCTAATTGATGCACGTTTACAGCAAGAATTCACTTCTTTTCATCATCGCATCACCTATCCAGCCTGACTCAGTCAGTGACCAAAAAGTAAACGAGGAGAGGGAGAAAGACTGGAGACTAAACTGATTGTGTATCCTTAGGAAAAACGGAGTTTCTGCAAGTTTTGCTTTCCGGTTTGGAAAGCAAAGCTGTTGTGGAGAACTTACACGATTCTCCAGGAGGAAAAGCATCATTTTTCTCATGAAACTGTACAGAGTTTAACCGGAGCTTTTGATAACTCTGGCAATAAAACACTTTAATCCCCCAATAGGGACAAAGTCAAGGCATCTACCTTTTCTATTCCTGGGTTTCTTCTGACTAGACCTGAAGCAGAGCACTAGGACAAGCTAGTCTATGCCTAAAATGAATCACATCAGCTTTTTGGGCAGTGAAATCCCAAACCAAAGGAAGTCCTGAGGGATTCTCGGCAGTCTGTCAAAAGAAGGGGACGGAGGGACAGATAAGGCCTCTTTCTCCCTGATACTCTGCCTGGGAAGAGCAGCGAACAAGGCAACTTCTAATCTGCATACAACATGGAGACCGATTTCAGATTCCCAAGGAGGATCAAATATGACCGAGGATCAAAAGGGGTGTAGAGAGCTTACCTTTGTGGGAAATGAAGGGCCTGAGAAGTGACACCAGTTTCACTGCTGCACTTTTGCTGGCCCTACGCATCCAGTGTGCAGACTGTGACAAATTTTTTCTGGCAAAACAAGAGAATCCTCCCTTGAATTTGGGAGTAAATGGTTGATGGATGAAAATGCAAGGCAGGGAAGGATCGTGTTTAACAGCTGACAGTAAAATATACAGGAAGGGGGTCAGTGCCTGGTGGAGAGAAGAAAGGTGGATTCAGGACCAAGCAGGCCTGACATGGATTGATTAATGAAGCACTGTGAGAAATGAAGACACTGTAGTAACTGGCTCACACAAAAGCCTACCATCTTGTCTAAATACATTCAACTGAAAAAAAATCGCATAGGGCAACAGGCCCTGAGTTTCCTAACCACCAGACTTCTCCCCCATTGAGGGTATACAGATAGATGAGAGACTTTATTTTCTTTCATGGCTTCTTACTCATGATTTCAATGACAAAAATTTTAAATCAGCTGAGCCATACCTTAAGATATTGTATATCTCAGCTACTCAAGAACAAACATTAAGAAACCTGCCTTCTTTTGCCCCCCCATGAAGCCAGCATACATATACATATACATACACATATACATTTTTATTTTGGTGGTGCTGGAAATAGGACTCAGGGTCTCATGCAAGCTAGGCAAGTGCTTACCACTGAGCGATAGCCCTAGCCCTAAACTGGCCTTTTAAATCTCTGTGAGGACCTTCTTTTTGAGATTCTGGTTCTCTGTGTTAGTGACAGGATGTTTACAACATCTGAACTGTCTTTTCTACAGTCCCTTTCAAAGAAACCAGGACTGTTATTTCTTAAACCACAAATAATCTTTTGTTGTCTATACATTTTATTAGTTATGAATGAAAGAGGCAAGGAAATAGTCCACTATTTTCTGACTTGGTTTAGTGTAGCATACTACTTCTCAGGTTTAAAGAAGTATCATCTGTGGGCTTTAGTACTCACAAGGAGTTCAACATCCCACTCAAATGCAGGAGGCAATGAACTTGTAGATATAAAAGCAACACTCTCCAGAAAACAGGTTCTGAGCAGGAGAGAATATGCAGATTTACTGAGTTCCAGCTGAGTTCCAGCAGTGACTCAGGCTAGTTTACTTACTGCCCTTACCAAGAGTTCTGTCATTGCTGGGACCAAGGTGAACAGAAGTGCACAGAGCCTTCTATGTACTTGAGAAGCAATCCTCTGGCCTTTGAAAAAAAGTTGTTCATTTATGAATCATTTTCAATACATGGCTAGAAGAAAATAAATGGCTTTTTTTCCTTATTTACTCTAAGAACTAGTTTAAGAAGTGAGAATACTATGATATCAACTAAGAGGTGCTGGGAAGGGAAAATGGGATAGCATTTCCTAGTGTAGTCCACTAATTTTCAGATTAGGAACATGCTAAACTGGCTAACTCTACAACCACAACATACTTTATAATACATGGCACAACTAGAGACTGACCGGCATAGCTCTGAGCTTAGAATCAAAGTATACAGTGCATATGGTAAGTCTTAAAGTATGTTTTAAAACAGATTTAATCAAAGCATATAGCACAAATACTTCTATAACAGCCACATCACAACCACCAATGAAGAGTTTTTTTGCTTCTAATCTGTCTGCCATATGCTAATATTTGTAAAAAGCTATTAAACGACTTGAATGAAAAAACAAAAGATATTTTTCTTTCGGTAGACTCAGCTAAAAGCCATGGATGCCTTTGAGCAGTTGGTGAAAATCATGCCAATCTGCCAGGCTGTTGCTTGCTTCTAAAGATAGGCTTCATGGCTCTATGAGAGATTTTCTAAGGATGCTAACCTAGGATTTAAATTCTCAAACACATATAAAGTAACTCTGGTTTCCTCCCAAAGTATGCACCTTTTAGCAGGCCCAAGACAATGGAAATGAACAGGATACCAAGAACTCAAGAACACTAATAGAAGATTCTTTAAGAGAATGTGATGTTGAAGAATTCATACCTGTAATTCTGTGCCCTGGAAAGAACAAGGCCAGAGCCAAGTGCTGCAGACTTGGTGGTGGTGCAGACATAGGGCAGGGTTTCTCAACCTCAGCGCCAGTGATGTTTGGGGCTGGATCACTTTTGGTGTGGGAAGCTGTTCTAAGCATTGCAGAATATTTAGAAGCACCCCTGGCCTCTACCTACTACATGCCTCTAGTGGCAACCAAATGTCTGCAGACCCTGATGGATGTGTTCCAGAGGGCAAAACTGCCCTTAGAGGAGAAGCACTTGCTACAGAGACTGCTCACTTGAGCCCTCAGGCATGGAACACTCCCTTCTGGTCTTGGGCTCTGGAAAGAGATTAAGCTTCAGTCAAGACTGAACAAGGCTCAGTTGAAGTTCACTTAGACCATTAGAGAAGGAAAAGTAGGATGGTGGGGAAGCAAAAGTGGAAAAACAGAGAAGCCAAGCTGTTTTTGAAAAGGAGATCAGCAATACTTTCATAAAACAAAGAAATTCACAAGTGTTTATTTAACCTCTGTATCTATTAGAACGTTAGGGCAGATAATAGAACATGGATGTCAAACATTCCTCTTCCTAGAGAAAATGCTATAGGTCAAGTCTTTGCTACCACGTACAGATGGCAGATTTTGTGAGATCAGTAACCCATCAACCCAGAGAGGAAAGAAACAATTCAAAGATAAGAGAGGGCCCAGTAGAGCTGAGAGAAAACTTTATTACCCGCCCCCCACAAGAGCAGGAAGAGAATGACATGTTAGAAATGCCATTGTAGGTTCACTTACAGTTTACTGAGGATCAATGAAAAGTCAGAAAGGACAAAAGCTAAGAGGATAAAAGAGCTACCTTGAAAACACTAGTTGAAAACATAGCTATTTTCTGGCTCAAATCTGGGAATGTACGAAAAAGTATGTATTGACTCTTCATCAGTTAGGTTTAGTTTGTTCTAGGTAGAAGGCAGTTATTCTAGCCCTTCTTTGAAGAACTGTCACGAATATAAATGTTCTGCAAGCATCTGAGATCCCAGTGTTAGCAAGGATGACAACATGGGAAACCAGCCCCCAGGTGACGACGAGCCTCAAATGCCACAGTATGGCAAAGGGACCGCGCAGTTTGTAAGCACACAGCACAGTGAGAAGTCTTTCCAAAGGAAAAAAAAAATGTAGTTCCTGGTTTGCAAGGGGGTTAACAAAGTACAGATTTAGTATGAAAAGAACAGTTAAATATACAACTTTTAGAGTCATTATATCCAGCCTCCCCCCCCAAAAAAAAAAAAAAAAAAACTGCTGAGGGTCTAACTTCACTTGTGTAACCAAGAAGCTGCCTGGGAAAAGCCAGATTCAGAGCTACCCAAACGGTATTTAACTGGTAAAAGAAGAGATAGAAAAAGAACTCGAGAGCATGCAAGACTACTGATTTGAATCAAATTGTTTCAATGATAGTACCCAGTTGAGTTTCATCTTAGTGCCTATTATACTTATTAAAATTAAATAAAAAGCACCTTAAAATGACTTCTATATATAATCAATACACATCATAGTATTTATATAAAAATGCAATATGCACACAATTTAAGCTTCAAAGAATCTAAGACATTTTTTCTTTATAATCTTCATAATCATCAGAGCTAAGATTCTCAAAATCTTGGGGAAGGGTTAAGGGTAACTCAACATTTTTCAATGAGAGTTGACTTCTTTCAGGGGCTGACCCTCTCAGAATTCTGGAACAAGTAATAAATACTGAGAAGGTACCTCTTTGAGGGGTAGGAGGAACTGCTAAAAGTCTTATTGCTAAGAGACTACTTTCAAATATCTAATTCTATTGATACATAATGGTGCTGAGGTGACTTCTGTGAAGGATGGCCCAGAGACACAGGAGTGTGTGATGCTTGCTGGCCAAAAGCCTTGATGATACTTGGAGTTACTTGGGATTTCAAAGTGATCAGATGAGGGGAAAATACAGGTCCTGTTCTGATGGAGTGTGATGTGTATATACAGGTGTGCATGATGACCTTATTAATGGACAGTCCAAGGAAGAAAAAGACGGATACATTTTATATATATATATATATATATATATATATATATATATATATATATTCTCTACATCTGGAATTGCTTCAGGAGCCTTTTAAGTATAGCAGAGAGAGCAATAACAGAAAAAGCATTTAGAAGTAGAAATGCCATACACGTATCTCACACCCCTCCTGGAGCCAAGAGTCTCTAGGAGTACAGACAGGATTCAGGAGCATAGAGCTGGTTTGCAAGATCTGTAGACAGGTGCCTCTTACACCCTCACGACAAGGAATGTTCGCGGGCAAATCTTTGGTCTACGCTCTACACTAATGCTAAGTGGAAGAGCACATTCTCTCTAAAAGACTCATGAGAGCAATGCCTCTGTCTCCCTTCACATAACAGTGACGTCCCTGGACACAAATGGGAGCTGAGTGCGAGGATGGAAACGAGGCCTACTGGGATCCTCAAAGGTCTATCTGACCTTCTTCCCTTGTGGGTCTGGAAAGAGATGCTGCATTTTGTCTGCTACTAAGGATCACATCTAGAGGCTACTGCTGAGGCTGAAAAGTTGAGCAAGGTTCATACTGTTACAGTCACATGTAGCCACAATTCAACTCCCTTTATTAGAAGTATAATACTCACTTCATATCACAAATGTATAAAAATATGGCAGATAGTGTCATAACGATACTTTCTTTAAATGAATATATTTATAAAACAGACATTTACCATATATATATTTATATATATATAGAATAAAATACTCCTGATGCAATATATAAATGTTACTGTTAAGTTTTTATAGAAACTACTGTAGCTGTCCCACTGCTTCACAATGTTCCAAACAGCTCAAAATAACTTTACATTATAACATAAAAGGTATGATTATAACAGTACAATATTAATTATAAATAAATGTTACAAATCCTATCAAATATGGAAGCTTAGAAAACAATTTAAGACATACAGTTCATCTGCTAACCCTTCAAAGGGATACTCTTGGATTAGAATAAACCCCACATGTAGTCTAGGCAGAAAAAAATATGCGGTAAGGGCATTGGTCAACATCAATTTTTCTATCCCTTGCAGTGCTAGGACATGTCCAGGCTCACCCAAGTTCAACAGAGATTGCACTAAAGCTGGAATGTAAGGGGGAGAAACTGGCAAAATTTTCTTCTTCCTCAATAGCACACTCTATCCATTCTCACACAAGACCTGTGGGGAGTGATGATCCCTAAGGACTCCCTTGGTGCTAAGATCCCTGACTAGCATTTGTGGCTGTGAGGAGCCAGATGACCCCACACATACAATATTGCACACACCTTCATAAAGCTGAGAATACTAGCTTACCACCCAGACCCAGCCCTCTCCCCCCAGCCCACCCTACTCCCTCCCCTCCCAACTGCCTTGTCTCCTCTCCCCCACCCCAGCACAAATTACAAGGCTGTCTCTTTTAAATCATTCAGATTTGGCATTCTTGAGCGATTTGTTCTGTTATAAGGGTGCCCATTTGGCCCACTCTTGGCACCCAGCTGTTCAGAGTAGGAAGGCCCCTCTGTGGCACTCCTGGTCACAGAGGACACATGCCAACCAGGATCCATCTGACCTGGCAGTTGGAGGGCTGGCCTGCCTTTTGGTGTGGGCTCCTGTCGGATGTTGCTACTCCCACCAGAGGCTTGGCTCAGGGGGTGAATCCGAATTTCTGAGAAGGAATTTTTGGTTGGTTGAGCTGTTAAGGGCTGGAAACGGGGATCTGAGGGAGCTGGGTGATTTGAGGCTGAAGAAAGATGTAACAGCTTGCGCAGTGATTTTAACGGCTGGCTCTGAAAGAAAGGATGAGAATGCATCTTTTGGATGATTTAATTTAGAACAGACCAGGGAGCTGGGAGGAAATGGAGCTCATATGGGAGATGACCAGAAAGAGCTATGGAAGGCAAATGTGGTTGGAGGGGCTAGTCCACACCTATCTGCTCTCTGGCTTTCTTCAGACAAGACTGTAGTCATTTTTATTTCAGGTGAAATCCCAAAAATCTAGAGAAGACAACTAGAGCTCAAAGGCCCAGGCTCTCACAATCTGGCTACATGCTATCTTTACCATGAGGTTTTCATGCTTCAACCACAGGAAGGAGAAGGAATAAAAAAGAATGGATATGCCTCTCTTTTTTGAGAAGATGTTCCCAAAATTCCACCTAAAGCTGCTACTTATACCTCATCAGGTAGAATTTAGGCACGCAAGCATATCTAGGGGCAAGAGAAGCTGAAAAAATACACTTTAATTAGGTAGCTATACACTGAGCTAAAAATTATATATCCCTTTTTGTTCTTCTCTCCCTGATCTCCCCTTTCCCTCAGTAATGCAACATCTCGGTGTTCCCTGCTATAGTTTTACTTTAAAAAAAATTTCGGGGGCACTGGGAAAGGTTTGAGCAGTAAAAATCCAAAGCACAGAGAAAAAAGCAAAACCCCCTACAGAATCTAATAGATGACTGATTCACTAGAGGCTGTCAACTCCTAACATGGGTTTGCAGTAGCCTTGTCTGTCTGCAGCATGGCTGCTGCTGGCCAAAGATCCAACAAACTGCTACACTGTGAAGAGACTTACATCAAGGCAAAATCAGCTGGAGATGTAAAGTTGCTTGGAAAGAACTTCCTGGCAAAGGAAATGGTTTTACTAAGGAGATTCTAACATTCCACATTTTTTATTTATTCCTTTTAAAAACTGGGACTAATGCATCATGTTCTCACTCAGAGCCTTGTCCCCTTAGTTTGGATACACATTTGATAAACTTAGATAGCTGGGTCTATGTTCACCTAGCCCTCAGTCTATGTTATGTTAGAGGTAGAAAATATTGAAGACAGAATGGCAATTTGGGGAACTCCGGTCCAAAGCTCTAAGTTAACATCTTACAGTTATAGAGTAAACAAAAATTATAAAACCAGAGCCCCTGCCTCCAAATCATGGAAATCTGTGACATGATGAAAGGGAATATGGTACATTATATGACTATATTTATTATGGAATATTTAAAACATATATTAAAATACTTCCAATCAAAGTAGCTTTCTAAAGGAGATCAACCTCAATTGAAAACTTTACTGATTCAGTTTATTCCCCCACTACAGCAGATAAATATTGGCTAAACATTACTGTTTAATATATAGTTCCTAATGCAACTGTTTGCCTGTTTTCTATCAAAAATAGTGCAAACATGTAAAACAACTAAATAAATGAAAAAGTATGGATTTCAGAAGGTTAAATATTCTTGCAACAAAGTTTATTATACTTGTCTTTGAAGGCCCAATTCATATGTTATTACCACTCTTAAGAAAATCTCGATCATCTTACTATCTCTGCTCATCCTTTGCAACTTTTTAAGCCATATCTCACTACATACCAAGATCCTTTTACTAAGATTGTTATGGATATTCTTTCTCTCTTAGGTTTTACAGTATTTGTTGCAGAAGACTATGTCTTCTTTGTTCTTCTAACCTCCTGCCCCTTTCCCAGCTAGAGGAAGACTGTTGGAGGGCTTGCTTTTTCCCCACAGGGACATGAGTCACTGAAGAAATATTCATCTGAACTACCAAGATGCATCTAGGTATTAATGAGGGTCTATTTGGGGGAGACGCTCATCTCTGTTACAACACTGAGAGGCTAAGTAGTCTCTCCATTGCTCACTTTCACCCCCTAGAATTGCTGCAGACCCAGTCTAGGAGGGGTATGGCCTTCACTCACTTGGGTCTGTAGATCTGATAGTTTCTCAGGGCGCCATTCCTTTGGTCTGCTGCTTGAAGCGCTAGCAGAGTGAAGAGCTTTTTGTAGTGTCAGAAGATCAGGACCATCAGAATTAGGTACCTAGAGCAAAAGATGGAGAAGGAATCAATAATCACATCAACAAAACTAATTAAGATATACAACCACACCCAAGAGGAGAACCAAACCAAAAAGAAAATCAAACCAAACTAAAAAAAAAGAGGGGCCCAATAAAGAAACCCAAACTCTTCCCAATGTTCATAGTGCAAGTGATGCTAGTTAAAATTCTGCTGCCCTCTTAATAATTTTCCCTGTATTAGGAAAAATTGGCAGGTGTCATGCAGCTTTGTTAAAACTTCAATCCTTTAAAGCATTCCCATGCTGTTAGTTTCAGTTGCTGTAAGAGAGAGCAGTTAAATCGGGCTGTACTAGGAAGTGCTGTCGTATCCTCATTTCATATTGCAGTTAGGTTATGAACCAGTTCAATAAAACAAAAAACTTTTCTTGCTAGGAAAATAATCCAAACACCGTATTTGGTGGTGTTAAAGAAGGCTTTCAAGGACAGTAAAGTGGGAAAGTATAGCTTGAATCATATTCCAAAACCATTGCCCAGTAAAGCTAGGTCTAGCATTATACACGAGATAAACGCTGAGAATTTGTGCTACAAATTCCAAATGAATGCAATTGGTCTATTCACCAATTTGGATGAAGGATAGTTATGCCAAATGCCAAGTAGAAGCCATGGCTGTAAACTAAGTGACCAGCAAAAGCTAGAGCCAGGCAAGGAAGAGCAAGTTACCAACTAGTAGTAGCTGTTTTTTTCATGGAGCCTGTAGCTCACTTAATTTGGTCAATTTAAACTTGATTTCAGAGAAACAAACCGCAAACCAAATGTTAACAAACTTCATGAGCCAAACTCAAAGACATTTTCAACTGTAAATGTTAATCAAATCCTTCACAGAAAATAAGGGATTTTTATGAATGCTGTCTGCCGATAATTGGCTAATCAGACAATCCAAACTACCCTTTTACTAGTTTCTTTGTTTAATAGACTTCAATGTCCTTAACTGATTCAGAAAGGTAAAGAATTTATATCTTGGTGAATTTATGGAACTGGCTCAGGTACTTAACTAGCATAAAGAGAATATGACTCCATGAAAATAAAACATGCTTCTGTCATCAGTAAAACAAGTTTACTGGAGCGGTTTTCAGGGCTACCATACATAAAAATGGGTACCATGGGTGGAGTGACTACAGGAAGCTTTTTCAAAGAAGAACTATGCTTTAAATGATTCTTTGAATTAAAAAGAGGAAAGAGGGATTTCTTGATGCTTGGATTCTCCCCGTTGGTGGAATCTGTCTGCAATATAAGATACAAATAAACTAATTGCCAAAAAAAGTTGCTTTTACTGAAACTATTAGCTCTTGGCAGCCCTCAAATTGTTAAATATTAATAGTCACTGAAAGAATCTCTGCACTGTATATCTAGAGAGGTTCTGTGTCATTTCTCACCTGGAAATGAAGATGTCAATAAAGTAAGTTCGAAATAAACAAGAATTTCTTCTAACTATATAATATGTAGTCACGGTCAATATTTACTACAGTAGGAATGACTGGAGACCTACAGACAGCCATTTATATTAAGCTTTTAAAACATTTAAGAATTTATTATCAGGGCTGGGGATTTAGTTCAGTGGTTCAAGCACTTGCTTGGTAAGGGCAAGGTCATGAGTTTGATCCCCAGTACAAAAAAAAAGAAGTTATCAGAAATGATTTTTATAAAGAATTATGTTTTATGAGCTACTGATAAAACTCAGTCTTCCTCTAATTGCTAGAAGAGGACTTAGCAACTAAAAAAATCTATCATGTAGGGGCTGGGGATTTAGCTCAGCGGCATAAGTGCCTGCCTTGCAAGCAGGCAGTCGTGAGTTCGATCCCTGGTACCAATAAAAAAAAAGCCATCTGATCTTGGACTTTACTTTGTTAGGAAGTTTTTGATTTATGATTGAATGTCTTGTTTTAGGTCTATTCAGATTTTCTATATCTTCTTGAGCCGGTAAAAACGAAAAAGACAAAAAAAAATCTATCATGTAATTTGCCTGTTAGAAAAAAAAAATTACCACAAATCCTTTTGAACACAGTGAACTCTTGAGCCAGAAAACATTGCTTGGAAGAGGACTACCACTGTTGTGGGATACTAATGTGGAGTAAGAAGCCTTGTCCTACGGTGTTATAAACATTTACTCTATGGAAAATACCTGGCACAATTTAGAATACTGGTTTTCAAGTGACGAAACATAAAGTTCAATCATTAAATTTGAAGCATCCTTGCAAGTTGAGATACTAAGCAGGATACAATTACCAAGTTGGCAAAGTCACCATATGCTCTGAGGGCTTATGTAACTATCTGGATATGGAACTGAAGCCAGATTTCTCAAGGCAGACTCCAAATTTGTTTGAATCAAACAAGAAGTCAACTTTACAATAGAAAACTGCTTTCTGGTTCCTTTCCTCCCATTTAGATATCTCAACTGTCAGAGCACTAGACTGGATATAAAGGTATTCAGAATTTCTTTCATGGGTGGTTAAAAACATTCAAATAAATATTTCATGATTTTCCTGGTCTAATGACAGAGCAGACATTAACTTGTCTTGCTAAGGAGGCAGGAGAGAGCTCTGAGTCTCCAAAGAGATGGCTTGGCAAGGACTGAGGCTGAACGTGGGATTCAAGACATCCTGGTTTTAGCCTTCCCATTTGACTGTGACTTTGGGCAGGTCACAACTTGTCTGGGCTCAGTTCCTACACTAGTGAAATAAAGGAGTTCAACTAGATTTAGGATCCACTTCGACTTTAAAATGTCGTATTTTTCTCTGTGCACTGGGTATCAGATTTCAATTTCCCTAAATTTCACGTAAAAGCTAGAATGTGTTTTAGTTTCCTTTTTCTGAATTCTTTTTTTTTTTTTTTTTTTTGGTCTTTTTCATTTTTATCGGTACTGGGCCTTTTTCTGAATTCTAAAAAGGAAAAACAAATTAACTTTATATTTAAATGCTGATGCAAAGAAGTCAGAAATAAAATAAAATAAAATTTTATTTATTTATTTATTTTTGGTTTTTTAGTACTGGGGATTGAACTCATGACCTAGCATTTGCCAGGCAGGTGCTTATGCCACTGAGCTAAATCCCCAGCCCCCTGACTATTTTGTAAAGCCCTTAAAACTTTCTTTTTTCTTTCAATTAAATCATACAGAGGTATAAAAAATTTTAGTTTGAAAGGTTTATAGCATCATGGGCTGTGGAAAGATATTTTGCAGTTAGTTTAAATATCCAATAAAATAATAAGTAGAGAGAATGTTACAGAACAGTAATTTCTTTATTTACCCTAACCTACACCATTTAAATATCAAAAATTTGAATTGAATCCTGAATCAAAATGGCAGCCTATACACACACACACACACACACACACACACACACACACACACAAAAGCCAAGTGAGTCAGAGGCTGAGGCAGGCGGACGTTATAAAACATGTTCAGTTCCCTGGTCCTTACTATTTGTAACAATTAATTATCCCATGATGTTCACAGATCTGTGATAACAAAAACCTTAAAATATAAGTAACAGTGGTCAAGAAGAGGTAGCTAATGTTTAATGTTTATGATAGGTAAGTATGTTCTATAGACAAAAACAAAAAGTTTTTTAAGCCCTTTTAATATTTTAAGCATCCCCAATTTTAGTAATCAATCCTCAGTTTAGTAATAACATTTTACTAAATAGCATTTTGATTTGACATTCCACTTAAATGAGCTTTAGTTAGATATAAGTAACGCCGTACAATGCACATTTCAGAAATTTTATGCAGCCACTAACATGAAAATAATAAAGTCTGTATAGTCATATACGTATCTGTATATACATAAATACTTCTATATGTATATAAAATTATGTGTATAATATAGATGAATATACTGTTAAAAGCCAGAATACAAAATTTTATTAGAATGAGTACTATTATTTAAAACAAACTTCAAATGTGAGCACATGCTCAATTACCTTTTTCCCAAAACATACACATCAACTAAAAAGTTATGGGTACACCAAAACCCTAATAGGGCAGTAAGTCTCTGACTGACAAGCATTCAAGTTGCAAACTTTCACAGGTATACTGTGTAACACTCACTTTGTTAGCTTATAAATGAATCTGGCTCATGAACAATTCTGGAATGGAACTCATTCTTAAGTTGAGGACTTAATATACTAGCCGTGGGAGGGTGATAAGATTAAAAATCATCTTTTTTGTTTTCCTATACTTTGTTGTAATGAGGTCATATTTATTGTGTAAAGAAATACATGTATTGACAAGCAAACAGGTGAAAGAATATTCTAGAAAGGTAATCTTGGGGCCTAGGATATGGCTCAGTAGCACAGCACCTGCCTGGCAGGCATAAGGTCATGGGTTTGGTTCCTGATATATAAGAAGGAAAGAAAGACAGACAGACAGACAGAGAGAAAGACCATCTAGAAAGGTCTTTTTTAATGTTTCTAGAACATCTGTGAGACAAAAATCTGCACTTGGGTGTTATATACTTTGCTACTATGACCTATCTCATCTTTACTTACCATGGAGTCACAATCCTACAATTTTCATAAAGGAAAGGGCCTCAGAAACACTGAGATTAATTCATTCATTTTACAGATGAAATCAATGAAGTCCCTTCAATCAGGCCATTTTCTTTTTCAAATAAATGACAGTAAATCATGTATGAAGTAAAATTAAAACCAAAGCCATTTAGAACAAGGAACTCAACCTCATCTAGTCTTCAGGGTGTCATGAAGCACAGTGGGAAGCAGGTGTCCCTCAGATGAAGAAGTGAGGATTCTGGAGACCAGGCTCCTCATTGTCTTGCACTGCTAGCCAATAGGATCCTTGCTTGGCTGGGTCAGTCAAGTGAGACACTGAGTCCTGCTGAGGCAGCCCTTTGCTTAGGCCAAGGGCTCCCAGGAGCCTGGGCAGTCTGTCTGACAGTACAGTCGCAAGGGAAACACATTTTCCTACTAAAACAAGCCCTGAAATGTCATACAATTTTCTCTCTGTGACTAAAAGGCCCAGAAATGTACCTGTCAACATGGGCAGTCTACAACCAGCCAAGGGAGGATACGAAATGATGGTTATTTATGAATTTCAAGATTTAAATGTAAACGAAAATCATTTCCTAAGTTTTCACATATCTTTATGCCCCTAGGGAGAAATGAATCCTGTATCTTCATAGTTTTTATAGGAATATAAATCCACTTGGATAAGAAATTTATTGAGAGAGGCTTAAAGTGTTCTCTCTCATCCAAATTAAATTTCTACTCCTAGAGATTCTGCTAATCTAGAAAGCTCTGTGAGAGGACGGTTGTATAGAAATTCAGAAAGAGACATCTACAGTGCGTGCATTCAAATCTCAGTAAGAAATTAACTTTGGCTGCCACATACAGAGTATAAAGGAAAGACAGAATAAGGCAGAAACCTATGCTAGCATATACAGAAATTGGCTATCTACTTACTGTTTGAGATTTCTTCTTTTTCTTTTTCATTGACCTGAAAAAACCTTGTTTCTCCTTTTCCTTGAGTTGATCGGAATGACTAATATTTTCAGGACTTTTCCTAAACAAGAAGACATTTTTATCATATTGATCTTTCAATCACTCTCTTGCCATTTTGTGACAAAAATAATGAAGACTGAAAATGCATGACCCCAGGTTCACATAGCCATGAAGAATCAATCACTTAGGAAAAGGTCCTCTCAAAAAGCAAGGGAAGAACTGAATCTAATCAAACGTGGTTAATGCTCATCGCTTGGCACAGATTCACTCAGACTAGCAATTTGAGTACTATCACAAAAATGATCTATAACTATGTTGCAGGATTTTCATGTTGCTGAAAGCCTCAGGATTAGAAATTCTGAAAACAATGCCTTTTCTGTAATCCTCCAAGGTAAAGAGCAGGAGCATTTTCAATACCTTCATTTTTCTATTTATCTTTTTTTTTTTTTTGGTACCAGGAATCGAACTCCAGACTGCATGCCTGCCAGGGAGGCACTGTACCACTGAGCTGTATCCCTGGCCCCTATTTATCTTTTAAAAAACTAGCTCAACAAGCTTGCTAGTAGTACCTTGCCAAGATATTGAACATAAAAATCAATGCTGTTACAGAAACATTATAAATAAAGGTAAAAATTGCCTGAATCTGGAAAATTCCTATTTATCAAAACTAAATAAAACTTAAGAAAAAACAGACAGGATAATGCTTTAAAACAAAGTGCATAAAGAAAAAAATCCTTACAACTGAAAATATTGACATTAAGCTTAATACCTCAGATACCACTAGGTATTTTAATAAAAATAGATTATAAAAGATAGCAAACATCTTCACCTTAACAAAGATGACTATATTGTGTGTTAAAGAGTACTTACATTCTAAACAACAACAACAACAACAACAACAAAAACCCTCAGTGATGTTATTCTTGAAAATCTCCCATTTCATGGACTCTATTTTAAATCTCAACAACTATATTACTGTGCAAAACCATTTTCTCAAATGACTAGATTTGTTCTATAAGCAATTCTCTAAGCAACTCTATAAGCAATGCCACAAAATCAAGAGTGGCAAAATCATTAAAAGTGACAGCTAAAGTTATGGTTTTAGAATACCTAAGAATGATGAAGTAATTAAGACACCTAAGAAAATATGAGCAAATCAGCATCTTGCCTTTATTTCTTTATTTAAAATATGTCAAGGCAGAAAACATATAAATAAAGTATTACAGATCTGCATGACACAAAACTCCATGAAGTTATTAAAATCACATCTTTAAAGAATATTCATTAGTACAAAGGAATATTTCAACTATAATAGTAAGTAAAACCTAGATTCAATACATTCTACATGGAATAAACCTAACTATATGCAATAGTGTGTGTGTGTGTGTGTGTGTGTATGTGTGTGTGTGTGTGTGTGTGTGTGTGTGTATTTAAAAGGCAGGAAGAAATTACAAAGTTTTAATACAAACTCATGGGTGGGCCCACGAGTTTGAGACTAGTCAGAGCAAAATAATGAGACCGTGTCTCAAAAACAAAACAAAACAACAAAATCTTAATGACTCTCATATTAGGTAGAAGAATTACAGATGCACAGTTTCTTCTTTTTAATTTTCAGTGGCAAATTTGTACTACAGATATAAAAAAGATGTTTTGCAAACTACAGGAAATTTATTTTAAAAACCAAGGACTGAAGATCAAAGACAGTAAGAGCAAGGGATTTGGGGAGTAAAAGTCATGCTTCAATGTGTGATGACCATCTCTTCTTAAGTATTTAGCCTAAAACTTGATGGGAATGTCAGGGAAATGAAAACCTGTACTGGGGGCCCAAGAGTTCTGGAATCTCATTAGGATTTGTAATTTTAAACGTCACTGAGGGAGTTCTAAGTTTTGAAAGAAAAGTGTTGTAGTTTAACAAGCCAGAACATACTGGGCACTGGAATTCAAAACAACAGACTTTGAAACAAAACAAAACTTTGAAAGCTAGAAAGCTTCAGACTCAGTGGAATGGTTGAGGAAGGGATGGTGCATAGGTAAAGATTCCTTAGGTGCTGTATTACCTGTTCTCCTGAATGAAACTGGCATCACTATAAGAACAGTAATACTGGCAGGAAAGGAAAGGAAGGCTTGAGAACCAGTCTTAGGAGGAAATAGTTAATTGCCTGGGAAGAGGAGAGTCTATACAGGATAAAATGGCGAATAAGATGAAAAAGTGAGAGACTGAAGAAAGAAAGGATCATGAAAGAGGAAGAGGAATGGGAAAAAACAGCTCAGAGTTTACAGTTTGGTGTTGCAGAGCTGGGTGCACAAAACACAAGGAAGATGGATCAAAGACCCTTGGCAGGGTTTCCTCCGAGTGCCTGGAAAAACTACAGTCGAGGTGGGGTAGGAGAAATGATGAGGAAAACATTTTCAAACTGATGCTGAGTGGGTGGTGCATCTCAGATATGGGCAGGGAAAGATGCCAGGGGCAGAAGAAAAAGGAAATAAATTACCCTTGAACTAGATGAAAGCTAGAAGTGAAGCCCAAGAATATCTATATCACCACAGACAGAATGAACTTGGAAAGAGAGAACAAAGGGAGACAGATAGACACACAGAGAGAAAAAGAGTAAGGAAAAAGCTACAGTGAAACACCCAGCGAATTAACAGAGAAATCAAAAGGAGAAAAGCCTCAGAGAGACACCAAGAGAGAGTTGGAGGGACAGAGAGCAGCTGCCTGGAACACAGGCTTTTGTAAGCGAACAAAGGAGGAGCCTTGAATATAGCTGAGTGGCATGAGGCCAATCGGGCAAAAGTAGGGACTGTCATTTCCTGGATCTATGCATAATGGTCCCTGCAGTTTCACCAGACAGAGTCTGCAGTTTTGTGTTGAGCTGGCCAAGGGTAACAGTGCAGAAGGGAAAGCAGGAGCTCACATATATCTCAGGGATGAAGCCTTGCAAAGGATCATCCATCCAGTCAGCTGGGATAACCAGGTACCTTCTTATGAGGCACAGTCATGTGACTCTAATGTCATCTAACACAACAGTTGGTTCATTTAAGCAGTCACAGGAAAAAGAATTCCAAAGAATCAAGGACGGAATTAACATGGATTCCAACTTCAGTCAAGTCAATCAGAAATCACTGGGTCCTTTTATATGCTGGATGACCCCTGTGTTATGTGTTAGAGATACCGTAGTGTCAAATCAAAGAAGGAGCTTTAACCCCCCTTGAGCTGCTCTGAGGCTCACAGGGCAGGTGCGGGGAAGGTAGGGTGTTAAAGGGCAGAGCCTTGCTGGGTTTGGTATACACCCTCTGGGGGCATCATGGAAGGTAACTGCAAGAGATGAGGAGTGTGATGCTTTCCCTGCCTCCTCCCTTCCCTTCCCCTAACAGTATGACTAAGTGGCCAGCTAATGTGTAAGAAGAGAAAGTTGGTGAATGATTCTACAGAAGCAAATCTGAGATAGGATGGCAAGTTATCATGGGTACAATATATTTATAATTTTATAAGAAGAAAAGGACTTGGATTATTTAAGTGAGTTACAGCAGTTCTTAAGTCGTGGGATTTCAAATTAATTTAGTTTACTGTTCATTTGTCAGTTTTTAACCCAATTTTGAGGGCTGTTTTTCTAAACATATTTATGCACTATTTTTAAGCAAAATAAACATCGTCTATTTTATAAACATATACTCTAAAAGGTTATCTGTGATGTGCATGATTTTCCCACTGGGAGCTTGAGAAAAGGCAGGAACACCTGCTGCTGTCCGCATCTAGTGCTCATGACCCTCTCCCTGTTATACATTGTATTGTTACCTAGGACTGTTTCTTGCTCTGCTGACCTTAGCACCAACTGGTACAGCCAGGCATAAAAGAATAAATAGACTCTGAGAGAGGATGGAGGTGCCATCCTATTAGTAAAGATGATGAATCTGGGTACATTAATTCCATTTGTCTTGTTCTGAGATATTCTGGCTTATCTTCCATTACTTAAGAGGGTATGAGATACCAGTGGCTATTAAGTTCTAGGTATTGTACTACCATATCTATCTGCTGTTTTAGCTTGATTTTTGTACTGCAGGAAATGTGTACAACATACAAATATGCTCTTCCCTAAATAAATTTAAAGTACCACCATTATGGAGATATAGACTTCCGTTAGGCTGGGTTATAATTTAGAAATAACTATGCTACTTTAGCAAGACTCATGTTTTTCTAAGCTATCAAAGGTACATATCTTAAAATATAAGGAATATGGTGAATCAAACTGAGATTGTGTTCAAGAATCATGTTCAAGTACCTTGAACCTTGTTCAAAGATTGAGTTAGATGTGATGCATGAAGGAGATGCATCATGACAGTATTAGAAGGTGGGGGAGCAAAAGAAGAGAGCCAGTTCTCCCTTGCTTGCAATTCTGGATCTGTCTCAGGCCTTACAACATCAGTATTAGTCCGAGGATGGTGCAGTGAAGACCTGCTGAAGTGCAGCATCCTAGTTACGTCTCTGATTTTTTTTTAAAAACAACTGATTTCAAGTTTATACATATATCCATGTCTGACATTCTACTGAAACAGATTATCAAAAAGACAGAAACAGGGAAGTGGGAGTATAAGCCAGTGACAGAGTGTGCACTTAATATAGGTCAGGCTCTGAATTCAATCCTCAGTACCAAACAAAACAAAAGAAATCCTTTAAAAAAGAAAAAATACAATTATTATTCTGCCTATCCCACTTAGAGATTTAAATTTTGACCTGATCTAATTTTCATAGGACTGTGGTAGTCTATAAGTGATGCTTTTTAAAATCATCACCACTTAATTATGAAATAACCAAGAGAAAACCAATTCCTTCTGAACTTCTATATTATCACACTTCAGACTCTATTCTCAGGGGTTGGTAACTGGCAACTAAGAGATGCTGCATTTGTGCTCTTTGTTAATGCACAGCAGATCTTCTCTACATAACAGAATAAAAGCAGCCACAAGGAGGCAGAACCCACAAAAGTTTCCCAGCAAAGTTAGGTAGAAGGGAAACACCTACAAGTCATAGTGACGCTAGATGACATTAAAGATAATAACTGCAGCCATTAACATTAACAGATCCTTGTATTGTTCTAGTTGCCTTTTATGTATTATGTCATTTAATCATCACACAAACCCGATGAGGAATGTGCTATTTTTTCCCAGTACTGGCGATCAATGCCTTGTGAATGCTGAACATGTACTCTTCTACTTCAAAATTCTTGGTCACTAATGTTCAGACTCTTATTTTATAAATAAGGCATAGATATAAAATGTGCTTATACCAAAAAAGGGTGCAGTTTTTAAAAAGTCTATTTATTTATTTATTCATTTACTTGCTTTTTTGAGATAGTGTCTCTGGCCTTGAACTTACTATGTAGCTCAGGCTGGCCTCAAACTCACAGTAATACTCCTGCCTCAATTTCCCAAATGCGAGTATTATAGGAATGTGCCACCATGTCTGTCCAGTTTTTTAAAAAGTATAATTAAAGTTGGGTGTGATGGTATACATCTCTAATCTCAGTACTCAGGAGGTTGAGGCAGGGTTATCACAAGTTCAAGGCCAGCCTGGGTGACTTAATGAGACCCTACCTCAAAATAAAATAAGCTGCGTCTGCCTGGCAAGTAAGAGGTCCTGAGTTCGATTCCCAGTAACAAACAAAATAAAATAAAATAAGCTGGGGATATGGCTCAGTGGCAGAGTGCCTCTGGGTTTGATCTCTAATAGCAACAAGATAATAATAATAATAATTTTCACTATAAGGCATAGTAACACTAAAATCTTGCTATAGTTCTGCCAGTAGAGCCCAAAAAGTGAAGGCACTTAGTGTTAGAAGCACTGACACAAATGCTTCTGCTACATCTGGCAATAAACATCAGAGATAGAATCTTTGTCAGACTGGTCCCATTTCTTTCTTGCTAGAAAAGTCAGTAAAGTTCTATCAAATACACATAAACATTCCTCACATCTAGAATCTGGGCAGTCTGAAAAACTAAGAAGAAAAGCCTACATTATTACTACCTTTTTATAAAGTCCTTAATCCTCAGACCAGTTTGCTAATAGAAATTAACATATGTTGTAGTTCTTTCACTAAATGTATATTACATATGACACATAGAGATAAAAGAATAAGGAAACTTGCCACATCATTTAAACCTCTACCATTTTGTTTTTATGGTAGCATGAAGTGCTGTTCTCTTGCTTCTTTCCCCATGAATGAAAAGCCAGGTAAAACCCACAAGTTTGGAGTTAGAACCCACTGAGGTCTGAATACTGGCTCTCTCCTTCATGTGACTGGCTGCCCAACAGTGGGCAAGTTTCTTGACTTCTGTGATTTAGTTTCTATATAATAGGAGAAACCCCTACTTCAAAGGGCAATTATGAGAACTAACTGAGACATGCACCTAAAGTGCTAAGCAAAGCATGGGGTTCAATGTCAATAAACACAGAATGCAAATGCCATTATCCCAGCCATGAAAAATGCAATAGAAGACTCGTTGGGTATGTATTAATCCAGGAAAGTTTTTCTTTTCACAAGATATTTATTATACATGTTGAACCTGAACTCATGAGTCCCCAATTAGAAAAAAGAAGAGTACAAACAAACATAACACTCACCATGGATCAAAGGCTGGCTGTCTCTTTGAATGATTGGTTCCAGAACTGCTCTCAGATGGTAGAGAAGAAACTCTAGTTGATACATTATTTTCATGGAAAGAATTGTCTGGTCTTGGAGATGGCACTGAATGAAGAAAAAGTAAGTACTGATGTTCTGTTTTGGTCAAAGTAGTTATTCTATTGCTTTCTCTTTTTGTGGTACTAGAACACTCTACCACTGAGCTACATTCCCAACCCTTATAATTCTTTATTTTTTATATTTTGAGAAAAGGTTTAAGTTTCCCAGGATGGTCTCAAACTCATGATTCTTCTGCCTTAAATCTCCCGAGTCACTAGGATTATCAGCATGTAACACTGCCTGGCAATACTGCATTTTCTTGGACAAGAATCAAACAAACAAAATCCTCATCTACCTCTCATATAACTGTGGGTTTTCTGAGGGTGGTGACATTCCAGGGACGTTTTCTTCCACTCTGCTTATATATTAACTTGCAAGGGTCAGTTAACAACCCTAATCTGTTGGCTGGTGAAATGGAATGTTGTAGGGTGTTTTAAAGTATGATGGCCCTCCCCACACTGGTTTGACATTCCTTGAAGTTTTCTTATCACAGACCAACTATGCAAAATTCACTCTGAGTCTTAAGCAATTCTTAACAATATGCATGCTAGAACATATGAACTATGCTTTAAATCAACTACCATTAAAATCTTGGAAGGCAATGTCACTTATGCATTTTAAAGTAAATTACAAAGAAATTTGGCAATTTGCAAAAAACTTAAGTTTTCTTTACATTCTCATTTCAGGAATGAACACAAAAATAAACTATGATGTATGGGAGCAAAATGCTTTTCTGCTTTGGGGGAGAGGATGATTACTAAATATTTCTATTAATTTCTAAGCTTGTTTACAAATTACGATGTACTGTAAATTTCATCATAAAAGTAGTATCAAGCCAGGCATGGTGGTGCATGCCTGTAATCACAACATTGTGGGAGGCTGAGGCCGAAGGATCACAGGTTTGTGCACAGCCTTGGCAACTTAAGAGACTCATTAAGACCCTGTCTCAAATTAAAAAGAGCCGGGGCACATAACTCAGTGTGAGGGTCCCAGTACTGAGAGAAAATAAGTAACATATATATACTGCATATCAAGATAAGTGACATCATTTAAACTGACTCTTGATAGAAGAATAAGGACAGAAGTATTCTAGAAACATCTGTCCTTACTATCATCTTCCTTTAGGACTTAGTGGAACCACTGAAATGACAGATGTCTCCAGGTATTTCATTTAGTTGAAACCTTCCTTCTACTTCTAAACTTATTAAAATTAAAATTAAAATGTTCTATCTGCCAAACTCTAGAGTATAAGGTAGACAAATGAGGTGTTTCTCTGTTATTAACAGACTGGCAACCAAAATAAAATGGTGTTTTCAGAAATCAAGATTAATTCATTAATTCCATTAACATTTAATATTAAAGTACTTAATATTTATTAACATTAATATTAAAGTATTTTCTCTAGATAACCATAGGAAAAAAGTACATGGTATATTATGGAAGTAAAACTTCCATTGATAGAAGAAAGGCTTTTGCTCATGTACACAATAACATTTTACTTTAATTAGCTTTAATTTGAATTAAAAGTTTAATCTTGTAAAATTCTAAAGTCATCATAGTGTTGGGGGCCATTAAAACGTGTATTTAGGTACCTATCACTTTTTCCAAAGGTGGGGCTGAGAGAGAACAGAGAAGCCTCATCATTCAATATACATACTCCTATATAAGACTCTTAGGCATTTGTTTAGCTCAGATTCCTAATTAAAGTAACCAAAATAGTTTTGCATGTCCCCCAACCTCACAGCTTCTTTCCAGCTGTCCTACTAAAACAAAAACAGAAGTCAGGCAATGGCTGTGATGATTTTTGAAGTCTTTGAGAAGCTGAGCTGCTGCCTGGTGAGCTTACGGTCTACTTCTCCACTGTGAACTAGGAGTTCCAAGAACTTTATAGTCTATTTTACGTAGTTACCACCTATGCCAGGTAATATGGTCAACATGAGTGTACTAAGACTCCTGAGGAGGTGACTGCTCAGGGAGGCCCTACCCTTATCAGAGGATTAGCCCACTGACATCAGAACTTTATGTGTTATTGGAAAGCGGTGTCCAGCTGGAGGAGGCAGGTCACTGGGGCATGCCTTTGGAGGACGTTTCTCTCACTGGTATTCGTCTCCTGTGTTCTGCCTTCTGGTCACCGTGAAATGAGCAGCTCTGCTCATGTGCCCTTCCGCCACAATGTTCCTGACTTGGAGGAGCTGACGTGGACTTTAGAAACCTCTAAACCCATGAGTCCAAAGTAAACCTTTCCTTTGAGTTGCAGGCATCTGGGTATTCTTTTTTTCTAGGAATCAGAAAGTACACCAATAACCCACCCAAAGGAGATGCCTTTCACTATCAATGTCTCCTACATTTGTATTGCCCCAAAAGCATCTGTTTTCAGTCACCTGTTAAATACCAAAATACATAAGGCTGTGCAAACATACTTGAATTTTCTGTAATTCAATCAATCAATATTTACCAAACTGTGCCAGGCAGTGACATAGTCAAAAGAAAAAAAAAGAACTCAGAGTCCAGAATCATTTTTTTGTAGTTCTGGGGATTGAACCCAGGCCTCCACACATTCTAGGCAGGTGCTTTACCACTGAGGAACACAGCCAAAGCCCACAAACTCTGAGTCTTTGAGGGAATCACAACCTTGTGAGAGAAACACTAAGAACCAGGGAGACGTTGCCCGCATTGTATCAGAGCCATAATCAAGAAACGTAAGACAGAAACAAGCTACACTAACAGGGAAGAGAAGTGTATCTCAGGCCATAAGGGGCACGATCTGTATAAGTTCCATAGGTTGGACACCAGAGAGACTAGGCAGGGAGGTGAGGGGCAGGGGCAGCTGGAGAGGACAACAAGGGCCAAACTATGGACAGTCTTAGAGACTTCAGATGCCTGATGCCCATGGGAAGCTGCCAAAGGTCTCTCAACAAGCAAAAGCATCTAGGATCCTGGGAAGGATAGGAGAGGGCAAAGGGTTGTGCCTTGCTGTTTTTTCCCCTCTATAGCACTACTACCTTTGATTGCTGTGAAGTATTATATTGACTGGCAATCTTTCCTCTTGAGAATGTGAGTTTTAGATGTTCAGCTGCCCTTTCCACTGATATTCTCTAAACTAGAACAAGTGACATTGGTAAGTATTTTTTGACTTAACTAAATGAATGAGTAGAATGGCCAGAAGGCAGCTTCAGAAGGGCCACTCCAGAGACTGCTTTGATGAGTACCTTGGAGACAAGGAAACCAGTGACAAGGCTATGCAAGGAACCCAAAGCAGAAGCCATGAGGACCTGAATGAAGATGGTGGAACCAGTGGCATAGAACACTGCTGGAGGGCATAGTGCAAGCAGGAACACTGTGGCTCTGAAGTCATTTGGGTTGGTAAAAATGTAGTAGAGGTCACAGGCTGGAGATGGTCACAGCCTGGCAGAAAGGGACAAAGATGCTGGTGGTAGCTTACCTCTGTAAAAGCTGCCAACTCTCCTTGGGATGGGATCATTGTACAGGTGTCTGTTTTCTTTGGGTCCTGTGCCATCATCAGAGTGTGGGTCATGGTATACTCCACCCTAAGGGAGGAGACAAGTTTACAGGAGTTACACCATGTCTCTCTTGACAATGAAGTCATCTACAAAGTCAAACCAGTGCACAGCCATTTATAATTAACTCACTAGGCCTTTTTTTTTCCCATGAGGCAAACCACTTACTTTAAAAACCAGTTTAACTTCTCTGTAGGAAACTGGGTATGAATAACGTTTAAAAAGAAGGTTTTAAAATGTTGAATGAATAATCCTTACAGACCATTTTTCAGTAAAATGTAGAAACTCTGAAGAATTCAGACCTCAGACTTCTGACGGGTATGGAATGAAGAGGTGCCTTCTCTGGAGGACTCTTTAACAGAAGGTCTTGCCACAGTCATCTCTGGTGGGAGCTGCTCTCCAGGCTGGAAGTCAAATTCAAAAGGATTTATAAGAGCATCCTATTCCTGGGGATTAAAATCATCGTCTTTATTTAGTATAACTAGTGCCTTAATCAGCTAAAATAAAAATGTTAGTTGGCTAAAATATTCATTGTCCCAGAAGCCAGGTGTGGTGGCACATGCCTGTAATCCCAGCACTGAGCAGGCTGAGGCAAGAGATTGCTGTAGCCATCCTGGGCTACAAAGTGAGTTCAAGGCCAGCCTGAACTGTATAGCGAGACTTTGTCTCAAAAAGACAAACAAACAAAAAAATATAAATTGTCTCATAAAAGAGTAAATCATCTGATGAATGTAAAATAAGTTGAGCAAATTTCAGCAAATGAAAAAAGAAATTCCCATTAAAGGGACAAATTAGTGTGAAAATAGTTCAATTAATTATTTAATACAAAAATTATTTTTCTAGTACAGTCATGGTTCTGAGCAACACTCTAGTTAGAAATTCTGTTAGTCAATCCCAAATTCATCTAGCACATTTTAGGCTGAATCTTCCAAAAAAGAAGTGAGTAACCATGACTGCCTTTCAGGAAGGGCTTATGTGGCAGACTCATATGAAAACAAATGTTCCTTGAATGCATCAAGGAATAGAGTAAGTCTGCTTGGTAAGTTTTGTCTTAAAATTTCATAGTGCCTACAGTCTATATGCTTCATTTCCAGGATAACAGTACTTAGGTCTGTATCTCTTAGCCAGAATTACCAAGGTGCTCATCTCTAGAGATGCTGCCACTACCTAATCCCTCAAGGAACTGGGTTACAACCTCAGCACAATGCGATAGGTCCACAACACTGCCAAAGAGGGGAAAATGTAGCATTTTCTGTCATAAAAAAAATCAAAGTACACAATGATATAGTTATCAAGAGGAATTAATGCATTGTGTATCTGTACATCACATACACAAAGATTATTATTGCAAGCCTATGTAACTTAAAAGTATTTTATTTAAAATATGATTCCTTCTTCCCCTCAATCCCCAGTATTTGGAAACTTCCAGGCAGGGATTTATCCAATGAAGCCTTTCTTTCTACTTTGTGACTCAAATATGTCATGTGACTTTTGCTACCTGTACTGCTGACAAGGGCCCCTTAAAATATATTTTAGAAAACTAATTATTTTTGCTAACTCTAAACTCAGTGAGAGTCCATTCTTTTGAAGGTAGTCATAATACTTTGCATTGAGTGTCATTCTCATGGTTCACTTATAGCTTTTGTTACTTTTCAAGCTTTCTGCCATCTTTGTGTGCTTGGATACTTTCTTGCAATTTGACACTAAACCTCCTGAACTAGACTGTGCTAAACCCACAGTCATTGCTTATAGTTAGCTTATGACCACCAAGTTCCCAAAAATCTCTTTTCTGAATTCTCAGAAGGCCAGTCATTTGTTTCTTTGCATGTATGTGTATATCTGTCTTTTTGAGACAAAGTCTTGCTATACACTTCAGGTTGGCCTTGAGCTTAAGCACTTTGTAGCTTAAGCTGGTCTCAAACTTGCAAGGATCCTCCTGCCTCAGCCTTTCAAATGCTGGGGTAACAGGCGTGTACCACCATGCACAGTTGTCCCTTTTACAGTGAAACCACACTTTGTTTTTCTTCTCTGACACCAAGTTTAATGTCAGTACTTTACCTGGCTTTGACCTCCACACCATGTTTATGAGCATCTGTGAGGTCCTAGAGATCTTTCTAGGCTCTTGAGGTTCTCTTCTCTGCACAGTGATACCTCAAGGGCTCTTCAGATCATTCCCACGACTCCACTATGCACTGTGGGCACCTCTTGTCCTCCCCTCATCTGAGGACTGGATACCTCTCCAGATTTTAAAAACACACCTGGGGGACTGGGGACTGCTTCAGAATGCTGGCTGCACCTTGAACTAGTTGAGTACACTGGGGCAATTCACCCATTCTCTCTGAGCCTTGGGCATGGTTATCGGTGAGATAAAGGGGTTCAATTATGGGCTTCAAAAATTCCCTCTCCCACACTGAAGAGGAGCTCCTAAAGAAATACTGAAGTCTTCCATTTTCCTATACTCAACACCGCAATTTGGAAGTCCTACTGTTGATATTTCTGAGCACTCTAAGATCCACCATTTTCTCAGTGCATTCGCTTAATCCCAAACCCTCTCTTCTCACCTCATGCAAGGATTACTACAAAAGCCACTCCAGGTGTATTTTCTACTCCAGCAACATGGAAGTAGGTGCAACCCTTGAAGCACAGCATGCTACATCATATCTCTATACCCTCCTTCTCCTTGGGATGTTCTTTTCTTCCCTCCTTTCCAGACTCTTTCCTGCTGTTGTTGCCCATCCCCAAGTGAGTCTCACCCCTTCTGGAAGTTTCTGCCCAGATGCCACCTCCTCTGGGAGCTGGCTGCAATGCCTGGCCTTGACTGCCACACTGCTCCCACTCCCTTTGGCACGCATGCACGCCCCTGGCACAGCAGCTGGAATGTGGTCTCACAGCATCAGAACAACCATCTGTTGGCAAATGTCCCCTGCCAGCCTGCAGCCTCCAAGAGGACAGGGACCCTGCTGTTTTCATCTTTCTAACTAGGTCTCTCAAGATGCCTAGCTCAGGACATACCCAAGCACATCTTTACTCCTTAGCCATACAGTGTTTCTGTTGCTTGCCACCCCCCAGCAAGATCTTCAGCTGTCCCTGAAGCCACTTCTGATGGCCACTGCTCACAGCGTTTTCCTGTTCTTCACTCTTATTTATAGTCAGTGCCATATGAATATTGGCCTTAATTATTTCACTGTTATCATGCATAATTAAATCTACCCTGAGGGAAGCTAAGTTTCTCAAGGGCAAGAGCTCTATCTCAGGACACTTTGAAGTACCTGAAACAACCCAGCAGAGAAAAGGTGTTCATTGTCTAAATCACAGCCCTGACTATCACAGGTGTGGAGCAATGACTATAACTTGTGAGACATTTGCTTTGTGCTAAGCACTGGATACTGTGTACTGTAGACATGAAATCATGAAAATATGATTAAAATGGATTCTATTGTAAGAATGCTACTTCTTTTAAGCACATTAGTCTCAGTTCTAGAGCCCAATGATCAATAAAATAGTAGAAGCATTATGCTAAAAACACTGCCTTAATATTTAAAAACAATCCAAAAGACAGAAAATTAACATTTATCTTGGCTCAAAGTTAAATTTATCTGTAATTCTAGATATATTAAACATTTTTAAATTCAGTTATGATATTGAGCAAAGTATCAAAAAAGGTTTGATTCCACCAAATGTGGTTTGGAGAGATTAGAGAAAATACCCATGAATTTACATTGAATTTTGAAAAATCCAAAAGCTAACCCATGTAGATAATAAATTCTATAAATAAACCAAAATGAGATTCACTCAACAAAATATCCAGAAAGGAACATATAAGAAATAGATTACAAAAAACAAACTTCAGAGTTGTTCTGAGTATTCAATATTTGATTGAAAGTGTGGCCTCCTATAACTGCGAAAATTGCAGATTGACCATATAAACACCCCCTGCACTACATGCCTATGGTGAGCCATCGGAGAGAGTCAAGGTGCTAAGAAGATGTACCTGCGGTGATAAGAGCTGCAGGCTGTTGGCTCTGGCCGCCATCCCTTGCCCTATACTCAGGCTTCCGTCCAAGCCTTTGGCTCTCACTTTGTCCCGGGTCACATACATGGAATGCCTGTGAGGACGCTGCTGAGAGGAGAAGGGGCTGGTGTACCCCAGCCCGTAAGAAAAAGATTCATGAGGTGCAGACAGAGAGTGGGAATGGCTGTTGTCCATGTGCTCGGGCAGCTTCAACTCCTCCATGGTTTTTGAATGCCTGGCTGTGGTTCGGCGAGAGTCCAGTGTACCCTCATTTCGGTTGTTTCTCCCTGAAGGGCTAAGTAAAGTTCTCGAGTCACTGTGCCTGGTAGGTGTTGGGCTGGTGGGAGAATTCAAATCCAAACAGCTGGATGGAAAATACCTACTGGTATTGGTCTCTGTAATTTGGGCCCTGGCTTCAGAAAGGTTGCTCACAGACTTGGAGTCACTCAATGCCCCATGGCTTTTGGCCTTGGTCCGGTAGGAGGGACTCCTGGAGGACTGGGGAATAGTGTCAATATAGCTGTGCCGACTCTGCTTCTCACTGGGCTGTAGTGTCCCTGCTTTGCTCTGAGAGCTTTCCATGAAAGAATGCCGGTTCTGCTGAGATCGGGTGCTGGACTTCAGGTACTTTGTGCCTGGGCCTTCTGAGGGCTTTGGGTCAATATTAAAGTCAAACTCTGTTTTGGATTTGGCTTCTTTTGGACTAAGAAGGTGTGGCATGTTGTTATTGGTGAGATCTTTGCTGGCAGACCCAGGTTGGGTGCTTGCTTGGTAGGTTTTGGTGTGCATCGGACTAAGAGTAGCTCCAGCAAGGTTCCCATTCAGGAAGCTTTCGTTGGCAGGAAGCCCTTCATCAGCCCGGGGCAGACCCACACTTAGGTTCTGAATGTCCTTGCTGTTAGATCTGTGGTGAGACTGTAAAGCAGCACCTTTGCTGGCTTGGCTTCTATGTTGAAAACAAAAGAAGCATATCAATTTCCTTCAATAGCAGGTATAAAGTATAGTGTTAAAAAAAGGAAGGAAAAAAAGAACATATACTTAAAATACCTCAACGACTAAAAACATGAACTCTTTCAAACTCATGCCAACCAGTACAAGTAACCTATCAATAAAGAGTAAGTTCATCACACTAAGCCACTCCACCAGAAAGCATGGGTCCCACTGAAGTAATCTGGCACCCTCACACACTCAGCTAACTTGTTGCTAATAGTTTGTAATTGATAATCTGGTAAAACACGCTTCTGCTATGGTGGTACTTTTATCAGTGTTTGTTATAGAGTATCTGCTAAGGAAAAGAGCTGAGTTACAGACAGACTTAATTCTTTTATGTGCTTCAATATCAGAAGACAACACTTAGACTTGCAGGTTACTGTGTTTCTTGAACTTCATTTTTCTTTGGAAAACTCCTAGCCTCCTCAGAGATAAAGTACTCACAGTACATTCATACAGACACTAATCAATGCCTCTTTTGTCCAGCCTGTATAAAGACTGAGAATTCTAGCAATGTACTCATTAAAAGAAAATGACACTCGAAAAAGAAATATAAATTGCCCAGTGAGGCTTACTGGAAAACATGATGATTAATGTTCATGGTTTGGAGAAGAGGCAATTACTTGGGGGTTCTGCAGACATTTTCTTGTACACTAAACAGGAATCCTATACTGGATCACAGGAATCTGAGAGTGTTAATTGCTCACCAAAACACACAATTTAGTCTCTTCTTCATTTCACACTTCACTATTCCAAACTGACTGAGGCCTTCTTTAGGACTCAAAGCTCCATTTCCTGCTTGGTTTATAATGCAAACTATCAATTCAGGGGAAAACCTTGTTCTTTATCTGAAAGCTGAAACTGAAGATGAAGTCAAGAGACATGGGTATTTAGGCAGGTAGGGTACAGGTCCTAAATAGATAATTTAAAGCAAACTAAAAGTCAGGGCCTAAATAAATTAACTTACCCAAAAAGACAATTGGGGCCTAATAAAATCCAAGAGACAAAAGATCAGGTCCTTAACTAAACAGGAAACCTTAGAGCAAGTAAAATATGAATGAAACAGCTTGCTTTGCAGACATCAAAGGCCTACTTACAACCAAGAACATCCCTGTTTTCTTTCATGTACACTGCTCCCAAAAATTGTATAAAAATCCAACAGACCTAACCATCTACATTGTCTCCTTCACAGGACATCCCTCTTTGACTAGCAGAGAACTTCACTTTTGTTCTAATAAACACATTTGGCCATTTTCCACCACTTGGTGTTTGCTGAATCTTCCTTGCTCCCAAACAAGGACCCGAGATCCAATTACAACACACAGCAGAATCAGTTTGTTCTACTGTAAGTATTTAAAAGAGCCAAATAGTGGTTTAGCATTTAGAATGCTTCAAAAGAAATAATGATTTACACAGTTCTCTTTTTATTACACATTCAGAAAATGTTGTAAATACTCCTATTGCCAAAGATGGTTTGATTTGGGAGAGTTTTGTTCCCACCAGACACTAATTGGAAGAAAAGTCCCGTTTTATTTTTCATGCAGAATGGTAACTCGTGAAACTACGCTTTCTCATTTTTCCTGTAAAAATCTGCATGCTATGGCATCAAATATAAGGGTCCTTGTCCTATTGTGCCTTTCAAATGATAATGTCTGCCAGAAATCTATCTGAGAGCATCAAAACACATCTGCTATTCAGCCAGCCTGTAACAATATGAAAGGTTCCATCTCCTAAATGTACTCAGTAATCCTTTCCCATTAGTTCACAAGAATCACAGCACTAAATAAAAACACTTAAATTTGAGCTAACCAAATGTCAAATCCCAGACCTAGAAAGAAATTGCAAAGAAAGTAAAGTTTCGTTTTCTATTAAATGATAATCAAATCTATTCCCAGAAAAAAGAATAGTCTGTGTATCCTAAAGGCATCAGGCTTTAAATCATTAGAGTTGTTTGTCAACTTACATGTTGATGACTAAAATATCTCAGCAACTTCAAAAGTCCAGAAACTATGCCTTCTCATTTTACCTGCATACCTTTCAGAGTATGAACTCTGCTAGAAATTTGAGAGCATCAAAAAACATCCACAAATAGATTTAAGTGTGTTGTTTATTGGCCATTTTCACAACTCCCAATCTATTCTCCACTCCTCTTCTTGGTCCTTGGCCTTAGAAGTCAAATGCTGTAGACCGCACCCCCAGATTTCCTAATTGAGTACCTTCTGGCAGTGCTCATCTGGGGAAGATACCACCACTCAAGAGAAACAGGCTGAGGGAGGCCTTCCCTGTTCCTTCTTGGCTTCAACACCCTGACTCAAATCCTAGCCATATTTCTCCAAATGACACTGTCCACTTTACTGCTGACTAGTTCCAGCTCTGCCTCAGGCACTCAGAACCTATTTCTTCCCTTTTTTCCTTCAGGTCTAGAGATAGCAACGGTTGAGAGATATAACATATGCAGATATTGGGAAATATCTCAGGCTTAAAACAGGACCAGAAATGCCAGAGAACAGCGGAGGCCGAGATGCCAGAGCTCTAGAACTGCTAAAATCCTGCTACCAGTGTTTAGCAGAAACCTACACCAGAACTTATGCATATTCATAGAAATGAAGATATAATTTCTAACATAAAAGGGAAGCTATAAAGTTAAGGCAGAAACAATTGTCAAAGCTTTAGGTTTTCCTTAGATGTACAAAATGCCTAAACCACTAGTCTGAATATTTCTGCTTCAGGATTAATAGGAAGCCACTGAGCTTTGTACATATCATAATTCTTATGTAAAAAGGGCATCATATTACCTTCAAATTGGAGCTCTACCAAAGCACAACAATAAAAAAAAACAGCTTTGAAAAATCCTCCAACTCTCTTTGACACACAGCTGTAAAGAATCTGTGTTAAACTGTCAACTACTTGAAGAGAAAGAGTTGACAGACAGATAAACCACTCTTAAATGACTGGTGGGACAAATGAATACATGGAGGGTTAACATTTACTTAAAGTAAGTTTTAAATAAATAGGCCGAGGAATTAGGATGAAGAATGTCTGAGTCCACTGCTCCTATGAAGAGAAGAATGTGAAAGACAGGATATGCGAGTGTGTGTCTCCAGGAACAAGGCAGAGGAGTGTGTAAATGGTAACCAATGAACATGGTGCTGTGGAGCATGTCTAACAGTCCTGGAGGACCAAGACAGTGCTCTGATCCAAGTTGGAATTAGTGTCCCTAATTGAGTTAAGAAAGCAATTTTTCATAAAAAGAAACATATAGAAAGAATAAAATCAGTGATGGTGCTTTTTAACATAGCCTTTTAAAAATCTGGTTTTGGAAATGCACATGCACACGCAAAAATAACCCAAGATTGCACTGGTCAGGTTGTCTTCCCAGACATTCCTCGATTCTGCTGGCTGCTTTTGCAGGAAGACTGTGGAATGAGTATAGACCATTGACAAGTGTGGAGACAACGCCCTCAGACACATGTAATCATGCAGGACTTTTTAAAAAATATATTCAATACAGTGTCAAGATCTGAAAATGAACTTATGCAGAGAGTTTTATTTATGTATAATTTCCACTGTAATCTACTTTAAAAGAGGATGTGGGAGCACTAGTCAAAGATCCATATAAATCATCTCCTCTGTACCTCCCACAAATGCCTCACCACATATCCTCCTTAACAGATTCCTCAGTACAATTCCCAAGGAGAACATCAGGTCCCCATTGGTTAACTACAAAGACTCTAAGTGAGTCACTACAAGACAAACAGTAAGGCCCTTTTACGTAGAGGTCACACCACTAATGACCATGGCACAAATCACAAATTATTATCAGTCTGGTAAACTGCATCATTGGGATAATTTTCTTTTTAAGTATAAACTAGAGAAGCCAAGTGACAATTAAGGTAGAAGGGAAACAAAAGGCTCTGAATAGAGAACAACCCCAAAGAAGACACAGGAGTAATATAAACTTGCAAAATGCAAAGGATCTACCAAATGATGACCACTATTGCTTGACTTAAGTATACTAAACTCTCATGGAAACAAATAGCAAATAAATCAGTTAAGAATGCTCTGCAAGATACAAGGGGAAACAATGAATGAAACCATCATTTTAAAGAAGAATAAGAAGAATAAGTAAGAGAAACACAATCATTATTGCTGCTAAGCAAAGCAAAAAGAGCACACATGGTTGTCATCGGTTTTATGGATGTCCTCTCAGACATAAAAAGAACAAGATCTCTAGCTTCAAAAATTCCAACCTATTAAGAATAACTGTGCAACCAAGCTAGGTGGGCACACCTGTAATCCTAGCTACTCAGGAGGCTGAGGCAGGAAGATCATGAGTTTGAGGCTAGCGTGGGTAACATAGGTAAGACTCTTGTCTGCAAGTTAAAAAACAAAAGTTCAGTGGTAGAACATCCCTGTGTTCAATCCCTAGTACTATTAAAAGAAAATAAAAAAACAACAAAACAAAGCAAAACAAACAAAAAACCCAGTTTTTAAATATGGAAGAAAAACAGACAGGGGGGATTTAAATTTAAAAGTTTTATAGTAAGAATTTTTTCTCTTTCTCTTCTAATAGTAGATGACAGAAACTATTTCTATTTCACAATTTGATAATTGTGGCTGGTCTCAGAGGCTGAGACCAGCTTGTAGGAGATGAAGAAAGAAAAAGAAGATTGTGACTAGGACACTGTCTTCCTGCAAAAGCAGCTAGCAGAATCGAGGAATATCTGGTTGCGAAGACAACCTGACCAGTGCAATCTTGGGGTATGTGTGCGTGTGTGCACATGCATTTCCAAAACCAGATTTTTAAAAGGCCATGTTAAAAAGCATCACATTACATCACTGATTTTACTCTTTCTATATGCTTATTTTTATGAAAATTTGCTTAGCTCAACAATTAAGACAAGAACAACAAAAAACACAAGACCTTTCAATAAGAACCTGCCTACTTGGTTCGACTGCAAAGAGTACATTCCCACTCATGTGTCTGGCACCCTCTGCTTCCTCCAGAAATCCTCTTGCCCTCATCTATATCACCAACCCTGAGTGCCATTTACACAGAATCTCCTGGATCTTAAGGCTGGAAACCTGAGGTGCTAACTCAATGCTACCCTTCTGGGGACAACACAGGTTTCCATGATATATACTTGTTAAAGGTGAGAAAGTCTTTAAGACCCACACAACTCTTTAATTATAGTTCTGAATCATGTAATAAGCATAATGAAGACATTTTTGAATAAAGAGGGCTTTCCTTCTTTTCTCTAATTGCATAATTTTAACAGCCACCTCCTCCACCTACTTGTAAGACCAACACTGTATCTGTATTTCCTTAAAAGGGAGTATTTACCTATTAGACAAAGTGCTGCTTTCCACATGATAAGGTTTCCTTTTTGCTGACCTTGAAGGAGACCGATCCAAAAGTCTCTGGGTTTGAAATGTAGGGTGATTCAAACACTGTTCAGTCAAGTATCTGTCGGCTGGGTCCAACTTCAATAAATTCTTAGGAAATAAAGTTTAGGATGGGAGAGGACATTATAAACTTAAATTTAAATTCTAATAAAAGCCTTAATTTTTATATCCTAACAATAGATACATAGTCACTGCAGAAGCTCCAGCATACACTAGGAAAAAAAAGACTATCTAACCTATAATCTCACCATTATTGTCCTCTTTGTAGATTTCCTCTCAGGTCTTTTATGAGTATTATGTATGTTTTTTCTTTTATCAAATCTGGGTCATATTATACACACAAGTTTTATATCCCACACTTTTCATTTACTAATCGAAAACATTTTTATAAAAATTTAAGTATTTTAAAAACTTTTAAGTGACTATATATTCACACTTTTTCTCTCTCAGATACCAGGTTCCCCTCTAGAGGCAGCTCAGGTCACCAATCTCCTATCTTCCATAGGTGTATTCTGTACATAGTTCTCTGTCTCCTCCCTCTCTTTTTCTTTTGCCTAAATAGCCGGATACATACACAGCTGTCTGCATTCAGCTTTCTTTCCATTTCACATAGAGACTTAAGAGACAATTTCATATCAGTAAATAGTGTCAACTCTATGGATGTACTTTATCTGTTTTTAGCAATGCCTGAATGATAGGGCTTTATTATTACAAACAATGTTCATTTTATTATTATGAACGATATACACATACATACATACACACACACACACACACACACACACACACACACAAAACTTACTTTTTTGGTGGTATTGTGATCAAATCCAGAGGCTTGTAAGTTAGGCAAGTGTTCTAAGATACATCTTAGCACTTACGACATGGTTTTTTTTTTTTTTTTTTTTTTTCATTTTTTTACATTTTATTGGTACATTTTAGATGTACATAATGTTAACATCACAGGGAATTTTTATCTGTATATGACATATTTTGCTTCATTTTTTTCTATTCCCCTCTCCTTCCTTCAACTCTTCTTCCCTTCCTTATTTACAAAAGCTTTGTTTCCATTTTCCCCTTCTTTTGCTTTCTTTCCTCCTCCCCCGCTTCCCTCCCTTATTTGAACATCTTCTTCCCATTTCCCAGTATCTATTATACATTTTGGTTCTTATTTACACTATCAGTTTCTCACATCAGAGAAATGATGCAGTATCTAAACATGTGTGTCTAATTTATTTCACTTAAGAGTGTAGTCTCAAGGTGCATCCACTTACCTAGACATGTCTCAAGTTTATCCTTCTTTATGGCATAGTCCTCCATTGTATAAAAAAACACATCCTAAATCTTGGAAACAGCCCAAATGCCCATCAACTGGTGAATGGATACAACATGTTTCTTAATGACTGCATGGAATTTTGTGGAATGGACATACAATGATTTACTTAGCCAACATTCTATGATTGGATGTAGACGGTAGCCACTTTTCACCTATAATTAATATGGTAATAACCACCTAAATAAAAGGTTTCACAGGATAAACTTCTAAAGATGGAAATTTTTGGTCTGCAAACTTTTAAAGATCCTTTTCTGTGCATTGGCAAATTACCACAAATTACCACCTAGAAACGTTGCTTCAAATTATATCCTCTTGGCATCTGCATGGATATGCCCATTTCTTGGCACCTTCATCAACAAGCACTGTCATTGTTTTTTTGGTATTTGACTGTTAGTAAGGTTAAATAATTTTACATTTATTAGTTACATATGTGTTTTCTTATTTTTCTATTTATGCATATATTCTTTTCTATTTGTAAGTGTTCTTTGTTCTATAAGGCACCTAACCCTTTGTTTATGTTGCACATACTACATTCTTTGTAACTAAAATGTTTTTTTCCAATACTATTTACCTCAGTAACTGGACAGGACTTTTGAATATGACTCATTATTATTATGATTACTTTTTATTTACAAACTAAGTAAATATCTAGCCAGGAATGTATGCCTGCAATCCCAGAACTCTAGGAGGCTGAGGTAGAAGGATGCCAAGTTTGTACCTAGCCTGGGCAACTTGGTGACTCATCGGTATCAAAAAGAAAAAAAAAAAGAAAAGAAAAAGAAAACATGGTTGGGGACACAGGTCAGTGCCAAGCCCCTGGGCTCAATCCCCAATACCGAAAGAAAAAAAAAATCATCAAATTATCTAAAAAAATACTATCTACATAGCCTAATGCAACACAATGGAGCACACTGAAATTTGCTCAGAGTAGCTGCTATTATCTCTCATAGGAGGTAAGCAGGGTGAAACTCCAGCATTCACAAACCTGTCTCTACTTTGCTTTCTTCATTAGTTTTGCCCAAAGGAAACATCTTTGTGGCCCACTGCTAAACAGTGAATGCAAATTTGCTTTCAGCAAACCAAGTTTCAATTTGAGACAACCACTTTCAATCTAGCACCACTGAAAATGTGAATTCTGATCCTATCATATAATAAAATACTCACTTTTGGTCAAAAGATTCTCATTATTGAAACTCAACCTACTGATTTTAGGCAAGTGGATTCACATTCACATTAATTCAGACACAACTCTGAAATAATCTCAGTTCACTTTTATTATAGAACAAAAACTGTGAGGGCATATATCATGATTTTGTTTGCACTGGCAACTTAACCAGACTAACTCAAAATTGTTTCAACTATTAAGACAAAGGAAAATAGGCCCTTGATTGGCCTTCTAAATTTGAAGTGCCTATGACCTTTCAGAAGCCAAAGAACTACTAATATTAGTGCTATCTTAACTTGAAATTAAGTAGAAATTGCTGTATTACAAAAACTACATGTATATTTATAAATATAGCTATTAATTTTCAAATTATTTGAAAGGATGAAGTTATATGAGGAAATTATGAAATTTAGTTTCTAATGTTTGGCATTTTGGGGAAATACAATATTCAGAATTATAGTTATTTTTATTAAAATACAGTCAATATTATTCTTACAGTTAGGTTTCAAATTATTAAGAGCTACAAGAATTAATCAAATTATTTACAACAATCAAATTAGCTACAATAATTAGCTACAATAATCAAATTATTAAGAGTTACAAGAATTCATCTTGTAACTGGTATCCCACTAAAATGGCTGACAGGAACAGACACTGGATGAGGTAGGTAGTCATTTTAGGTACTTATACAAGAACAAAATTATCAAGACAGTTTCAGGGAATGGAAACGAGAATAATATTGCTTCATAAAACAAAACTGATGTCTTTCATTTTTAAAATTCATTTTTGAAATTCATTGGCCAAGATAAAAAGGGCCAATTCATTTATACAGCATTCAGTAATAAAGTAGCACTCATTGCTGGTGAGACAAGTCAGAAATTATGGTTTCTGTGAGCCCAGCAGGACAGGGGTGGAAAGCCAGGGCAGGATTATGAAGAGCCTTGTGGGTGTTAATAGTTTTCTGTATCTTGACTTGCGTAAGGTTATAAGGGTATGCTTATAAAAATTAACGATACAGATATAATTTGAGCACCTTCTGAATGTACATCTCAGTAAAAATATTTACTTACTGTTAAAAAACTTTTATAATAAGTATTATTAAACAAACATAAATTAGAAAGTTTAACATCCAAACTAGTACAAGTACCTAAAGATTCAAGACACTGTTCTGCTTCTGTCGGTACTATCTTTTAATTAGTATTCATTTTTATTCAGGCACCAAACTGGTAATTATACTGGGTAATGATTTAATATAAAAGTTTAATTATTTTTAACTAAAAAAGGACAAAATGCAGAAAACATGAAATTATATTTAATTCCATTTCCCTACTTTATTTATATTTTGAAAGTCACCAAATAATTAAGAATCTGATCATTGAGTACAGACTGCATGAAAGAATGTATTGATAAAACCCAACTGATTTAAGTGAAAATTTATGCCTAACCTAAGAAAAAGAGTTTTGAGATTAAGGGTTGCTTTTTTTTAAAAATCTCAGTTTTCAATCTGTACTTAGAACATTAGTATGTCAGAGTTTTATTTTTTAAAATATTCAATATTTAATTAAATTTGGGAAGTAGTGTGATGGAATGGCTTCTTTACTGTGAGATTTCTGAAAGCTTTTGTAAGTTAATTAATATTACGAATCTCTACAAAAGTTTAGTATGGTATGTGGCCTTCCCAAATGCCATACCTCCTACCCCAATTTCTGCCCCAACACCTAGTTACACACACTTTCCTGGAACAGATTAACAGAGTTTAAAGCACAGAAAAGTTCTAAGAAAGTAGCTCAGGCATTTCCAACTGTGCTAAGTATGTCTTTTATCAGTTTGTGCTGTGCAGCCTTCGTGGTTCTGATTGTCCACTGAATGGATATGAAACAAAACCAATCTACTAACAAAGGTTTTCTGAAGGTCTACTATCAAATAACCAACATTTGCTTATGCATTTGTTGGCTGCAATGAAAACTGGGGAAAAATGAAAAATGGTCCTCTCACTCAAGGAGTTGAACATCTACTAGGGAATAAAAGCTTGAATACCAAAAAATTGAGGATGTTTTCAGTAGTACAGAGCAAGAACTCTCCTGGACAGGGGGTCTAGCATGAGGAGGAATAGTCGGGCTACAGTGGTACAAGTGATCCTGGCATATCTAAAAACCCAGAAAGAGCAATCTGTTTGGGAAAAAAAGCTCAAGACAGAAAAAGAGAAGAATTAGATATACTGGTTAATTCTATATAGCCTATGACAGCTCTTAAATATCATATAAAATTATAGAATCTTTTTCAAAACTCAAGATTTGTTTCATAACGAATGCCTGAGCTCCTCTTAAGTGTTAACAGATTTTTATTATCCTGTCCATTTTAGGAAAATAATTTAGAGATCTCATGCCCCTGTCTAGATGGACACTACCAGATCGTGCTGTAATTTTAAATAAATTACACACCTTTTAACATGACATAATCTGCCATTGTTTATCATTACATGTCTTTAACAAAATATTTAACACAGTCCCCCATTATTCACCATTATGTACTGATCAGTATATTTAATTTATAAAAGCAAGGCTATGATCACACATAGACAAAAGAGAATCCATAAACCAAAGGCTATATGTTATACAGGCCTCTACTTCTCCTACCTTCATCAGGTCAAGTAAAACACTATTTAAAATTCCAAGGTATCTTCTCTCCAATGACTGAGGATGGTTAACAGCTGGAAACTGTAAGGACAACACAATAGGAATGTTAGCATTTGGGGACGGTATTATGGGTTGTATCTAAAGGTAGCCCCAAAGCCTCATGCAGTCATAGATAGGAGTTTCAAAGGTGGTTGGACTAGCGTGTTTGAATGTGGACTACAGGTGTGATATGAGGATTATGTGTGTGGATAATGGAAGCCCCATCCTGGGTACAGGTGACACCAATCAATAGGTTTGAGGTCTGGATGGAATATAAAAGGACTTGGTGCTGCTGCTGCTTGCTGCTTCGCTGTCTCCTGCTTTGACATGGATTGTTTCTCCTCTGCCCTGCCACCTTGCCTTGGAGCCAGACAACTATAGACTTAAACTTCTACAACTGTGAGCTGCAATAAACTTGCCTTTTATTAACTTGTGGGTGTCTAGTATTTTGTCTCAGCAATGAGAAAAGCACCTAGATAGAAGGCTATATATGTACAGGCTTATGAGAGATGCAGAGAAGGGAGCAGTTGAGCAAAAGGTATTGTTCTTGTGCCAATCTAAGTCAAATTCATATTTGTATGTTACTTTTTTTATCTATGTATTTTAGGTATGTATTAACTGGACTGGATATTAAATAACCAAAACCCACAGGTGAAATATGATACTTAAAAATATAGTCATATAATACTAAAACATAAGAAATAAAATATAAAAATCAGAAACTATTTATACAAGCTATAGAGTATTGTCTTCTTAGTTCAGTTCTAAAACAGTATATAGAATGTCTGCTTATCCAGACAATTCTTAATTATTGACAGTAACTGGGTGCCTAACACAAGTAACATAATATAGTATCACATAAAATTTTTATGGTCCTTTCACAGCAACAGATTTATTCCTGAAAACAGACAGTAAAGAGAAGAATGCAACAAGAGGCCAGAATCTGTAAGACCACAGAAGTAAAACTAATGAATTATTTTACTCATTCATTCTTTCATTTTTGAGACAGTGTCTCACTATGCAGTCCAAGTTAGCCTAGAACCTGCTATGGAACTGGCCTTGAAATTGTAAACTTCCTGCCTCTGCCTCCCAAATCCTGAGTTTACAGGTGTGTGCCCCTGCACTAGCCTTGTATTACTGCTTTTAATATATACTTTTAATGAGCTGTTTTCAAATCCTTTTGAGTTGATTTTTAAAATCTGCTTTTTCAGATGTTTTTTATTTTTTGCTTTTTCAGATTAACATATACATTTTTTAAAAAGATGAGAAGGAAGGATCTAGTTTGTTTAAATGTTCTAGTTTTTCTTCTGCCAACTCACACTTGGTCATATCTGAGTGGGGGCTGAAGCATTAGGTAATATGACTGGCAAAGCCCAATGTCAAATGTGTGGGTAAGTTTCCTTCTAATACACATTTACTCTATATCAACAGAAGAGCATTTGAAGCACTGAAATCCTTAAATATGCTAAATAAGTAGATAGGAGGACTAATGATATAGGTATTTTTGAAGTACATCAATTGTACACTGTGCTCCGTAATATACAGAAGATACAGAACATGGGTTAGAGCTAAGCCTTGCACTTGAGGAATCCATTTTCAGACTGGCGAAGCAACTGGTGTTAAACTGTGCAGCTATACATTTTTATGGAAGCTCAGAGAAAGGAGAGACCAAGGCAGTTTGTGTCTGTAGAAGACCTGGTAGATAATATTTGAATTAGGTTTTAAAAGGTAAGAAAAATATGATGCTGGAGAAAAGTAGAACAGTACCTTACAGATAGAGGAAGGAAGACTAATGTGAGTATAACACAGATGCACAGGCAAAAAAGCTAAAACTAATTTCTTAGGGAAGTGACCCTATGTCAAATATTTTAGGTATTATTAATCCCTTACTTTAGAGATATAGAAAATTATGGTCAGAAATTTCAAATAATTGATTAAAGCAAAGATATATAATTAATAAGCAGTATAACTTGTATTTGCATCCTGGCCTATGATCTAAAGCCATATTCTTTCTAAACTGAGGCAGCTCTCCTAAGGGAGGTAAGAATTTACTTTTGATGTCGCTGCAGTATTAAATATTAGCCCAAAGAAAGTGAAATCTGCCATGCCATGATAAAAGACCCTATACCAGTACATTTTAATTAATACTTTGCTTCTGAGGTCTATCTTATGCTACCAGATACCATCTCCTTTTATTTTCCCAGAAATGACATTTCACTGATAAAAAACTCAATTTCAAAAGTCAAAAAGTATTAGAAATATTAAAATAAAATGACCAATCAAACTAACTTAAAAATTTACTTACATGCTTTTGAGTGAAATCCACTATTCTAATGTCAGATAATTCAACAAATAGCCAAAATAAGCACATAAATTTAAGTCATATCCCAGTTTGTTTCTTTTCTTAATCACTTGGCTAACACAAATGAAAGTATCTCTTTACTAAGCACTACTATGAGCATTTTATACACAATAGTTCATTTTCACAATAATCTCTTTAGGTGATACCTTTATTATCAGCATTTCACACACAAACAGAAGCACAAATGGTAAAATAACTTATTGAGGCCATTCAAGTAGTAAATATGGGGACAGGCTTTGAACCTTACCAGTCTTATCCCAAATACTGCATACAAATGGATTTTTCAGTCTCTACATAAGTGGATCCAAATGCACACCACACTGAATTAGTTACTGGCAAGCACATGGCTCACAGAAAATGCAGCTCACAGGCCCAGTGTGCTTACTTATCTATTGCAGACATTCTCAAGTAATAGCATAAAGGAAAAATTTCTCTCAAAAATGTTGCTAAACCTCTAAAGACATTGAGTTAATTTAGTTAAAACACCACAAACACTTTCAGACTAAGATGTAAACATATACAAGTTTATAAAAATTAAAGTGTCATAGAAACAGCAATCTCCCTAAGGACATTTATAGGCAGCATTGTCGTAGGCTGTCTAGCATTTGGCAGACAATATTGTTTAAATGGAGAAGTCTGTGAATAAATAAGACCACAGACAAATGAAGGAAAAATAGCCTTCATGTGGCCTCTCCAATCTAAATGCCATCTGCTCTTCAATATCTATTTTAAATTTCAAATTCTCCATAAATTATAATGAATTTCCAACTATGATTTCTAACTTTACAGAATGTTTGAAATGATCACATAATGAGATCTAATAATGAGATCTATTAGAAAGCAGTACAAATAAGTAAATGGTGCAATACTTTATTATATTACATATTATGATTTCCTATAAGTTGCCTTGTTCTAATTATTTTGGTATGAAAGTCTTAATTCTGCAGTTAGTATGGAAGTTATGAAGCCCAGGTACAATGTCAGATCTGCTTATATTCTCTTCAGAGAATCCACCACAGAGCCACTTTAGCCAGGCTGAGACAAAGTCAGCAGACCAACCTTAAGTAAGATCGAGCAGTTTAGATAAACTATTCAACCTACTAGCCACTATTCTAAGTGTGCTACAAGTATAATGATAAACAAAACAGTTCATTTCCTCAAGAAATTAATTAGTCCAGTGAGGATACATATTTGCAACAAGTAACTTAAAAGAGAACATGATGGATGCTATCAAAGAAAGAAAGAAAGAAAGTGACTAGAATGCTATGGGAGCTTAGCATGAATCACTCATTAAGCCTGGGATAGTCTAGAAGGGTTCCATGGAGAGAGAAGATTTGGCCTGAATCTAAGTAAGTATTGGGAGCACCAGAGAAATGTAAAGGCAGCACTACTGAAGCCACATGTCAGGGAAATGGTGGAAAGGGCAAGGTAGCCCAAGAACAGTGGATGGGAGCAGGACAGGGTGAAGACCAGGCTGGAGGGTTAAGAGCTAGGGGTTTTGAATGCTACCCTAAGGTGTTTCAACTTTATCAGCACTCGCATAGAAGTGCTGAAACAAAGAGGATATAGAATTAAATGTGTGGCTGGAGAAATGTGAAAAAGACTTGAGGACAGACTGTTCAAGATATCAGTTTGAGAGCAATTGCCTATAGTTCAAGTAAAGGCAACAATAAGAGTGAAAGAGGATTTGAGCTGGAGAGAAAGGAAATAAAACTGAGCTTGAGTGCTGATGTTACAGATTGGCTTGATGAATCACTCAGATATTTGATAAGTATTAGTTCCTGTGTTCAATGCTTCAAGTAAAGTGATAACACAGACAGTGTCTGTCCTTGGGGAACTTACATGCTACCAGGGGAGAGCCAGACATTGATAATTAACAAACAAATAGATAGATGAAATAATCCCATATTGTGGTAAGTGGTATGCCGGAAAAAAAAGAAGGGTGCTCTGGGTGAGACCAGGAAATGGGTGGGGGAGACAGTATGGTGGGTGGCCAGAGGGAGGAGGTGTTCTTTCAATTGAGATTTACCAAAGGAGGAGGGGCGGTGCCAAGGAGGAACCTTTCCCAAAGAAGGCACAGTCCTAAACACATAAAGCTTGAAAAACATTACGATGTTTATGAAAGCCAATGAACAGGCAAGTGTGGAGAGAATTGGAGACAGAGGGGAATGGAGATAAAAATGAAGCAAGGCCAAGGAGCCAGAGAGCCTGGAGTAGGCAAGGTCTCACAGGCTATTGGCAAGGAATTTGGATTGATTCTCACTCAGCAAGAGAGAAATTCAGTAATTCTGACTAACTTTATTTGTGAATACTGAACTTTCATTTCTTCTAAAGATAAATCCTATTTACTGTCATATTTTTCTCACCTACTATGAAAAATGTTCAATAACTGTTGAAATAATATATTCAACCACATGTAGTATTTTCACCTTTATTAATGCAATGAATTTGGCCAATGTTTGTATCTTTGGAGGATGCTTAATGTTGTAGATAAAGGAGTTTAAGATAATCAAGGTTTAGAATATAATAAGCAAAATTAAAATGAGAAAAATCTGCATGAGGTAACTCAGACATTTTGGAAAGAGAAAAAACATGGTAGAGAAACTATGCACCTTGGTTCACTCATTTCCTCCACATCCATTAAGCCCAGAAGAAGTTGGGAGTCTGCTGGGCACTCCTGTGTGGACACTGGTGTCCTCCAATGAGAAATTAACTGAGGTTCAAAAGGTCAAAGGAAAAATAGTGTTTTATCAATGGTAGGAAAATATGGTTTGAGAATCACACATTTATGCGAAAGAAAGGAAGTGATAGCAAGATTACGTTGTAGTCCTCACAATGACCACCAAATGACATGTTGGCCCAAAAGGGTGCCTGAACACTTTTAAAAAGTCATTTCTGGGGTAAATGGATGAGACAAGCAGACTATCACTCATTGGCCACTATACTGACTTACTTCTGTAAGCTAAATATTCCTCAATTGAGAAAAGTTTATATTAAGATGCTTTTTAGCATATTCTCAGAAAACATGCTTCAGGAAAGAAAATATGATGCCTTGAAAAGAAGATTAATGTTTTACTGTTAAGAGACAAGAAACTGCTAGAACAAGAACCTTTAAATCTGCATAATATAAGTATTCATGGCCTTTTTCAAATCACTACAAATGTGCTGCTCAAGCAGCAGCCGTTCATACATTTTGTATCTTTGGAGGATGCTTAATGTTGTGGATAAAGAAGGAGTTTAAGATAATCAAGGTTTAGAATATAATAATGTATATGCTAAAAGAGATTTTGAAAAATTAGAATTTACAAATTAGTAGCTCCCATTTTCAAATTCTAGCCAGTTTTTAAATGCATAAATACTGCATAAGAGTCAGAAATAAAATATTATAGCAGGGATTAATAAACATTTTGATGGAAAAGGAACAGTATCAAAGGATAGCTTAGCATTGCATTGTGCAATGAACAATGAGTTAAATACTGCCATATTGATTTCATTTTGGGTTTAGCAAAACCTCTTACCCGGAGCCCGTGGAACCGAGGATTACTATAGAAGAGCTTCATCTGCTCAGCTGGAAGTGGTCCTAGCACCTTCTGAATAGTAAAAAGTTGGTCAATTTCACTTTCTCCAGGAAATAAGGGCTGTCCATCACTAAGCTCCCCGAGAATACAGCCCACTGACCACATGTCTACAGACTTCCCATAGGGAGCTCTGAAAAACAAAGGGAGAGATTATCTTGGCAAGTTAAGAAATACAAGCTCTTAATAATTTCCAAATTATTCTGAACAGATCAATGATCTGAAACACTTTCTCTGTATTTAAGGAATTTAAACATACCATTGGAAAAAAGTGAGATTAAAATGAAGAACAGGAACATCCAAGTAAAAATTCAGAATATTACTGAATAATCTACAACTAATAAAGATAACAGTTTAATAATTTTTATGTAGTATGCAATAATTGAAATCTAGGTATATCTTCAACATGAATGGCTTAATAAATCCTAATATAGCGCACATGTCTGATGAGTAACACCTTATTTGGGAAGTAAAATGCTTCCAAGGAATATGTTTTCTAAGTAATTATATTTTAGCTCTCTAAATGTCAATAAAAGTTACATTTTATCGATTGTTTGAGCTCAGCCTATTAAAATGTACTGCTGACTTACATGTCTCCTTAAAATATAGTGAATATTATTTAACCTTTGCTTACTTAGTGTCACAGTTTCCAATAGCTGACAGTGCTAAGCTCTATTATATTATCTATCTTAATATAATTGTACTCTACATATATAGGGCTCTCTGATAGCTATTTCTCTCAAACATTTTTTTAGGTTACATGGCAGGTTATAGGTCACTTGTAGGATCTGAGTTTATCAGAAGGCTTTAATAGGAGAGCTGTTTTTACAAATGGAGATTATCATGAAAGTGTAGGTATCTCCAAAACAGTGTTAGACCTGTATTCCAATATCTACAGCCTTGAATCAAACTGCCTACGACAGACAAAGAAAGCATCCAAGCTTTGAGATGAAAAAGTCACAATAAAATATCTGAAGAAGAATACGGAATGAAATTCTGGAATGGCAATATAATAGAATATAAATTCTAGAATGGTAATATAATAATAATACAAAACTTTCAAACTAAAGCACTGTTAACATTATACAGAATGTTTCTAGTATAATAAATCACTGTAACAATATGTCAATATTTCATTTATCTCTCACTGTAACAATACATCAATATTTCATTTATCTCATTTCCTTTCCACAAAAACCTAGGAACCATATGAGGAAATTTTAGTTAGATATTTTGGGAGATATCTAGGGAAGGAAGCTACTGATCTTTCATATCTGAGAGAAAGAAAATATGTTCCATGGTAATAAGTGGAAAATTCTATGGAAAATCTCCACATATCCACGACAAGGTATCTTGCCTTCTATCATCTGATTTGAACAATTTGTGTAGTTGTAACTATTTTGAATGTCAAGGAAAAAGCCCTGAGAATGCATAAAAATGTAAATACTTAATATAAAACCAAGTATCAACTGATTTTAATGGAATTTTTTACACAAATAACATGGTTCTTCAACTAGTAATTGACAAACAATTAGCAATATTCCATTTAGCTCAAATTAGTTTCTTGTTTCTATTTACTTTTGGCAGCCATCACACACCTCTAAATATAACCTCAGTTTTCAAATCAGTATTATTAAGCAACAAATAACTCTCTGAAGATTCACAATAAGGTTGTCCTAAGAATGTACACTCTGAGACCATCTTATAGACAAAATCAAATCATAATGAGTCTTTCTACCATACTTAAGTCTTTGGATGGTGGCAAATGGTGTTTCATAAATTCAAGTTCTAAGTCCCTGAAAAGAAAATGGACTACACATCCAGTGACTATAGAAAGGTATACAGAAGTAACAAAATGGACATAAAATCAGTCCTAATCTAAGATTAGAAAGCCAAAACTCTGTTCACACAAGTGAAGGGATAAGCCATCATCTATTTCTCAAGATAAAGCAAGCTTTCTATTTAAAAAAAATAACAAAACTTTCAAAAATCGATGCCAATAATTCTTATGGGCTCTAGGCCAAAAGTGAACCAAGAATTACCACCAAATAGTTGATAGACACATTCATATAAACCTTCACTGAGTATTTTAAATGTATATACTCATCATGCTCTTCAGAAGAAACCCAGAAATTTATATTGCTATTAGATATATAAAAAAGCATCTTTTAACAATTAAATTTTCTTGTATCTCCCAGATACATGTATGGCACACAAAAGAAAAGAGATGAAACCTACAAGGTATATATTTGTCACTATTACCACTATGGCTAATTTTTTTTTTTTTTTTTTTTTGGTACTGAGAATCAAACTTACAATCTCGTGCTTGGTAGGCAGGTGCTTATGCCACTGAGCTAAATTCCCAGCCCCATTATGGCTAATTTTATTTGTTCATTCTTCAACAGTCTTAAAGAAGGAGACACAATCTAGGGAAAATAAGAAAATACAATCCTAGTGCTCTGAGAGGCAGGGACAAGAGGATTTTAAATTTGGGTCCTGAATGACTTGGCAAGACTCTGTCTTAATATAAAAAAAACACAAATAGAGCTGGGAATGTAGCTTGCTGTGAAGGCCCGATGTTCAATATTCCGTACCAAGAAAGAGAGGAGAGAGACAGAGACAGAGACAGAGACACAAAAAGACAGAGAGACAGAAAGATAAAGAGACAGAAAGACACAGTCAGAAAAACAGAGAGAGAGAGAGAGAGAGAGAGAGAGAGAGAGAGAGAGAGAGAGCGAGCACGTAAAAGAGTGAGCTGACTACACACATTTGTCCAACCAGTGGGTCTACTATCCTATTTGGTCCCTCTTCTTGTGGTGTCATTTCAGGCAAGTTACCTTTCCAAAGCTTTTGTTTCCTTACCTGTGAATAACATGAATAAAATGTCTTGAAACAAAATAAAATGAAAGGATATGAAGAAGGGAGGGGAGGGGCTTGGGGAGGGGTTAGGGGATATAAGGGGAGAGGAGAGGAGAGAGAAGAGAGGAGAGAGGAGAGAGGGGAGGGGAGGGGGGAGGAGAGAAGTGGAGAGCAGAGGAGAGGAGAAAAGTGGAGAGGGAAAGCAAGACAAGATAAGCTAGGGCAGGTATAGAATTAGTCATGAAACTATTTGATGGAGATCAGAACTATAAGCTCCTTCTTAGGCTTTAAAGTTAAAATGCATTACTAAGAAAAGAATTTTATCAGAAGACCCTTTCTTAGGGTTCACAGATCAATGAGAGAGCATTGAAAGTACAAGATTGCACAAAGTGGATGGATGTGGAGATGTTGCTGAAAAAATATAAATGCAGTGCTAAAATAAATAGGCATTTATTATTAAACAGGATTTATATTCTTCAAAGGAAAAATGACAATTAGTTCCATATTTACCCAATGTTTCTAGCAAAGTAGCTATATACAGTAGAGAGCTGATAAATATTTGGTAAACATTTGAATGAATGAGTGAATGAACAGATAAGTTAGTAGGTCAAACTCTGGGAATATTCATTCTTAATGTGGAAGATTATTAGCAAAGTTGGCTGTAAAAATTCCTTCCATTTCTGTATGCATGTCACTTTGTAATGAAGTACTGTTAATTCTTCCATCAAGAGATAGGATTTATTTCTTCATACCTTGAATTAGGGCTTGGTTATAAAATGTACTTTGGCCAAAGGCAAAAGTAATACTATTTCATACTTGGAAAGCACCTTTCTTTTGGGACTTCACTTCTTGCTAAAATTCCACATTATGATACTTAGAAACATGGACCAGGGTACTGAAAGATGAGTCCCAGTGGATAAAAGATGGTCAGTCCCAGCTGAGGCCCCTTGTATCAACCAGCTTCCAGATGACCTTTCAGAAGACTAGCTATATAAGCAACACCAAGACAGACCAGCAGAACTATCAAGCTGAATGCAATTACTGACACTCAGAATCTTGAGCAACTAAACAGTACTTGTTCAGTATCATTTCAGTTGTAGGTGGTTTGTTATACTGAATATATAACTGACATATTTAATTGGTGTTCTTATTTTTTATCAGTTCACCCAAAGTCAATAATAAAGAATCAATAGATGTGTAGAGTTCACTCTACTTTGAGACAATAACTCACCCAAGTAACAGTTCTGGGGAGCGATACCACCTGGTGGCCACATACTCTGTGTAATTAGCATTATTACCCTCTGACAGATTCCGTGCAAAACCTGAAAGAATAATAATTTCATGTTGGCAAAATATTTCAACACTAATAATATCTCAAAACAACATCAAAAGAACATAATGACTGATTTTGAATGGGCTATTTACTAATAGTGTCTTTATTTTTAAAAGTTTATATGTTAATTAAAATGTACAATGTATTTACTACAAACCAGATCTCTCTCCTATACTAAAGAAATTTTCAAAGTCATACCATGTTTTTCTAAGTATTCAAAACTTATTTTTAAATCAGCTCTCCTAAAAATGCAAACCTCATTTAGACCACCGTCTGGGCTTCTACATCTGAGATGGCATGAGCGTCCATGTGGCTCCCCGGGGCCTGGAGCAGGTTCCAGGCATCTGCATCTGCCTGGTACATGGGGCCTTGGCTGAGAGTACAGGGCTGCTGGAAGTGGAGATATCCTCAAGGTCAATGGCATCAAGGTGGCTTCAAGGTGGCTTGAACCAAGTGACGGACATGGTGGCTGCAACCAGTGCAATAATGTAGTTTGAGGAGCACTTGGGTGTCTGACAGGTCCTCTTTCTGCAGGACCCAACAGTGATGATGACAACACTGAACGTAGTTTTTGAGAACAGCCAGATATTCTGTTCCAACGGGCTGTGTTAGGGGCCCCCATGCTGGGACCTATATCCTGGCTACCTAATTTCTGGTGCCCACAGCTCTCTGCCCTCCCTGGATGGTCAAGAATAGGCTATCTCTGTCTGGGGGAGTAGCATTCAAGGAGATGGTAGTGGCTTCACCCTCTGACAGGCAAGGATGTAGCCCTTTGCAACTCAAGGCTGCTGGGACATGAAAGGGCCTTCCCAAGGGGAAGTTTTAGCTTGCTCACAGTCCTCTTAGTCTGAGCAACATTAAAGATTTTCTACAATAAAAAAATGAACCTCAGGAATAAAATGAAATCCTCACTAGAGTTGGAAGTCACACTAGCATAAACTTGATGGTCATTAATTCTACTATATAGTATTTGTATGCTTACTGTAGAAAATCAGTTCCAGCCATTATATAAACAAATTAATAGCTGGCAGTGATGGAAACAAAGCAGGCTAAAATTACTGTCATCTCCTAATACCTGAGAAGCATGTTAGTGTACCTTAATTATATTATAGTCACAAACGTGACTTTTGTCTGCCACTCTTGCAAGAGGTTTTTGGAGCCATGGTATATCCACAACTGAGGCAATAAGATAAATTAACTGCCCATCTCATTCATCATAATAGTTACAGAGAACTGAAACATTAGATCTAAAAACTGATACGTGTCAGTTCTGAAAAGTGGTAGTGTTTCCTAAAATGAAACAGCAAAAACCAAAAGCCACAGCAAAAAATTAAGCCCTTAACTTCAGTTAATCAATACTTCTTTGTGAGACATACTTTGAAGAAATATTTGTATTTCTGAATGAGATTCTTCAAACCACACAAAAGAGCTGTACACACTAAAAGGGAAAGCAATTAGGGAGCCTTTGTTAGGGATGCACACACAGGACACAGAATACCACATGCGGTGCTACCCAGAGCAACTTCCTGCCCATTTAAGTCTTTTTCTTAAGAAATAATACTAGACTGGGAGGTTTCTTTTTCTTTTATTAACCATTCTACAAGTATTTCTCTTTTATTTATAACCTTCTTTATAAATTTCAGTAATCTTTCAGTTTAAGCAGATCAGTGGCCCATAGTAAACGGTATATAAGGTGCACAAAGTTTCTGTGTTGGATGGGAATTATATTTAGAAACAGGAAGTCAATGTTCTTCCTGAAAATCATAATGCTAAAGAAATGCTAAAAATGCCAAGATCAAAATCTTTCAGATAAAGTGTTCAACATTTCATTTTTATTTTATTTCTTTAAAAACAGGCTAAAGGGCTGCAGATTTAGCTCAGTGGCATAAGTACCTGCTTGACAAGCGCAAGGTCATAAGTTCGAACCATGGTACCACACACACACACACACACACACAAACAGACTAGAGAGGACTTATTTGCAATGTTTCTTATAGAAAATGAGGAAGAAACTTAAAATATTTTTCTTCAGGCAAGTAGGTTCATAATATTCAAATTTTTAAAAAGTATTTAGTGAAAATGATTACTTACATTGGCTACACTAAGCAAAATGGGTCATTTTATAGAGCAAATCCTTAAAATGCTCTATTTCTCACTTATGTGTTTGCATAAACAGGCATATCTGTAGTGGTTATGACTAAACTTCAATTTCTAAAATATTTTATCCTACTCTAAACAGGAGTCTTTAGGTACTGAGTATATATATATATATATATATATATATATATATACATACATACACACACACACTCACATATATACATATACATGCATGTGTGTACATATATATGCATCTATTTATAATTAAATACTGAATGATGCATTTTAAAAAATTGTACATAGTATTCTACAGAGCAAAGAGTGTATTGTTCCAGCAATCAATTTTCACCATATGGCAACAGGATTTTTCCCTCTGCTAATTTAGTTCAAGACAAAAATTACATTTAATATGCCTTTAAAAAGCTATATACGTATTACCTTAAATTAATTCTGAAAGTACCAGTACTCAATTTCTTTTAACTTACCAAAGTCACACAGTTTCAGAACATCATTGTGGCTGATTAAGAGATTTTCTGGTTTTATATCTAGAGTATGAAGATTACAAAACAATTAGTATAAATGTTCTTATTGAGAAAGTTAAATCACTAAAGGGCACCTGATTAGACATATCCAAAAGCTAGACATTGTGGTGTATGCCTAGAATCCCAGTACTCAGGAGGATTGTGACTTTGAGGTAAGTGTGGACTATACAGTAAGCAACATCACCTCCAAACCAAATTTTAAAAAAAGACAAAACCCCATGAAAGTTGAATAGAAAACTAGCAAGGTATGGTGGCACAGGCCTGTAATTCCAGCACTTGGAAGGCTGAAGCCAGAGGATCACTGTGAGTTCAAGGCCAGCCTGGGCTAAATAGTGAGTTTAAGATCAGCCTGAACTATATAGCAAGACCCTGTCTCAATCAATTAATCAATCATTTAATTAATCAATCAATCTAAATGGACTAAAATAAAAATAAAAACCAATAAACACATTTTTATGCTAGTGCCTAAAGTTTGATTAATTTCTTTTTGAGAAACATGCAGACCACAGCTTTAAAAAATCCTTGTAAGTTTTTAACATTTATTTTGAGTTTTACAGAACTGGGGATCAAATGCAAAGCCTCAATTATGCTAGGCAAGAGCTCTATCGCTTAGCCACATCCAGAGCCCGTCGTTAACTCTTCAAGGGATTAGCTGGATCTTGAAAAGAATTTAAGAATGACTGAATCTAGGCCATCATACTTTGAAGAACTATTTTTACTTTATAAAATATTAATACAAATTTTTGCAGATAAAATATAAAATGTTTACATCCACAAGATATCTTAACACATGAGAGTAAATAGATATCATTATATGTACTGGAGGAAAAAAATCCACGAAAGGTTTTCTGTATAATTGCTATATTTAAAAATGTCTCTTTGGCTTGTCTGTGTGATTTACCAATACCAATAAATAACTCGGAAGCTAAACTATATGAGTCAAGTTAAGATTTCTAATTTTTTCCACGGATCTTTTGAAGATTTGATAGGAGTTGAAGGGTTGAATTTGCCTTTAGAGAGGCATCTCACAATTTTATTTTTAGAGAATAGTACTCATCATTTATACCATATGGTGGAGCTGTAAATAGACAAAGGGCAGGGATAGTGAAATTTCTAGATTTCAGAATCATGGTTTCCACCACTAATTAACACACAACAGATTCACTATAAATTTAAATCATAGTTTCATGAAGATAATGCAGCTAACTCAGCTCCCCATTAATATCCTCAAAGATTAATATGGCCTGTTATTGGAATCATTGCCCTAGACATCAGGTGTCTAGTTTACTTAAGCGATCTATCTATACCACTGACAATATTGGTAAACACTGTTATGAGAGTCAAATACAAGAGAATTATTGACTTTAGAAACAGCAGTTGGTACTCTTCATATGACCTTTAAGCTTTCCTTAAAACTGAGATTATTTTTAAGGTGATATCCTTGAATGTCTTTATAACTAAACTAAATATAACATTCATTTATCTGGTAATTCAAAAACAAGAAGTTGTCTTTGCACCATTTTCTGATAAACATCTTTTAGCTCCATCATTATAACAATTTGTGTCCCACTGCTGTAAAATTCTGTAATGCAAAAGAGATAAAGACAAATAGTACAGAGTCAAAGATAATTCAGAGAAAATAATTTCCTTTTCATTGCTGTCAACCAGTGACTTTGTGACAGAGTTAAGGACAACTTCAGACATTTTATAATCATGGCCTATGTGCAAGGTTGATCATGTCTGCAATCTGCCAACAATGGGCACTTTTCACTAATGTGTGAAAATGAGGAGGTAGGGGCTGGAGGTTTAGCTCAGCAGCTTAAGCGCCTGCCTTGCAAGCAGGCAGTTGTGAGTTCAATCCCCAGTACCGATAAAAAAGGAAAAAGACAAAAAAGAAAATGAGGAGGTAAAGATATATATTGAAGATGTGGCCCTAAGTAAGAATAAAATGTGAGTGTCAATAGCGGCCAATGACTTAAGGATCATCTATAAAGCCTGATCCTAATTTGATTTATATCATTTGGTCTACCTGTAAGACCAAAAGTCTATAGAAATCATCCACTTGCTATCCACCCCCCACCTCAAAGAAACTTCAAAATTTGCAATTATTGAATACTTTTATATCACTGTGTTTCTACAATTCAAAGTAGATCTGGTTATATAAAAAGATCTAACCATGGTATCTAAATGCATTTATGATTCATCCTTATGGTATAAGAAGATTTGGAAGGGAAATGACTTCTCAATCCCATATCTTCAAAGTATACTGAAACAGAAAATATTCTTGAGACAGTAAATATTTTATTTTTATTTGATGTTTCTTCAGTATTTTCCATTTCATAAATTCCATACTCACCTCTGTGGACAATATCATTCTTATGGCACCAGTGAATAGCTTTGATTAGTTGGTAGATATAGCTTTTTACTTTTTCAGGTGGCACTCCATTTGGCATTTCTTCCAGCAATTCAAGCATATTCTAAAAGTTAAACAGAGAGCCATTATTCTCCAAAATTAGGTGGGCCCATAAATTATATATTAATAAATTTAAAAAGCACCTTGGATGACAATGTATCCAATACATAGCATGCAATATTTTGTTTGCTTGTTTTACATTTCACCTACAATCTAGGCCATGGTGAACCAGGACACTACATCAAATCAAAGTTTTCTTTTATGAAATATTTCATTTCTACTGCTCCTCTAAGCTGCCCCAAATAATAACCATCTGTAGTTTTCACCATCCCTAAAGATATTTAAGTATATTTTTAGAAACATTTAACTAGAAAAATTATGTATGTATAAAGATGTAACACTGTAATCTATAAAGTGTCATTTTAACATAGTGTGCTATGTCTCTTCAATAGACCTTAGTCAAGTCTTAATTTCTGTGAGTGACTTAGATACCATTCTTTTTTTTTTAGTCTAGGCTTGTCTTGAACTCTTGAGATAAAGGGATCCTCATATCTCAGCCTCCAAACTAGCAGGCATTACAGATGTGTGCCAATATTTTTAAAAAGAAAATAAATCTCAAGATTAAAAAAATACATTTAGTATAAAAATTAAAATAGGCTAGAAAATACTACTGAAATGAAAATCCAAATACTCTTAACAATTTAATACTCAACACTTTTAGTTTGGAGCCATAGATCCTTTCAAAATTGATGGAAAATTTTTGTTAATTTGCAACTTTAGCAGTTGCCACTGAGTTTCCAAATGAACTATGCATTGTCCATTTTCTCTGCAATGCACACTGAGTAAGGCCCACTGTACAATCACAGCTTTTTATTTCCAGACAACCACCTAGGACAACAGTTGGCAAAGTGTGGCCGGAAGACCTACAGCCTCACGAAGCCAAATTGTACTGATCACATCACTCAGATGTTCTTTTTTTCACTGTGTTGTCATTTACATTGGAGGGCCAAAGCAACAATGAGTAAACTGCAGGCACCCTTAGCAAGAGCTGGATCTTCAATTCAAATAACCCTCACTGTTAAAAGTAGAAAACAACAGTTTCAGTGAACGATGTGCTTGACAAAACAGTGAAAATATTACTTTTACTAAATGTCCATTCTAAAAGTGTATGTCTTGTCAAGAAGAAACACAACAGAATATGGAATACACAGAGCACTCCTGCTGCACATGTGCCATCTGAAGGATGACTGTCTTGAACCACAGCACTTGGGTGACTATCATGCAAACTGAACTAGCTGCTTTTTTGTGGAACACTATTTTTCACTTGAAAAAATGGTTGACACATAAACTTATTTATGTGACTATTAATGGGATTATCACTGTTATTTTTAAATGAATTTTTTCAATGCCAGGGATTGAACCAAAGCCTTGCACACAATAGTGAATAGTCTACAATGGAGTCACTTCCCTAGCCTGAAAACTAGTGTTGCCGCATACTGTGGTTCTCAGTCATGCTGTGTACTTGTCAAGAATCACTTGCGTTTATTTTCACACCTATTTATTACAGATATATTTGTTTAAAAATGAATATCACATCAACCAATGAAATAATTTTTTAAAGGTTGCTGTTTATAAGAAAACAAAGTTGAATAGTTTGAAATAGTAAAGAAAAGCCACAAAACATATAATTATCTATTCAAAGGTGAATCAAACATCTGTAAAACACTGGCAAGTGATAGGGGCTGGTAAAGGTGATAAATACTGAAGGACCTGTGATATGGCTGAGTGTTTGCCTTACTTTTAAAGGTACATTGTGGCTATGACGTAGGTATGAAAGACCAATCGGAATTTCAATCCAAAGAACAACAAGCAAAAGACCTTGACCTATCTCTAAGGAGCAGTACATGTATATTTATGATTTTAGTTAAAATGTTTAAAGAGTCTCCATTTTAATTGCTTTTCAATTAATAAATATATAGGAGTCTCAAATACACAGAAGAAATAAGAGGACTTTGTAGTAGAGAAAACAAATTGTATCCCTCATTTCATATTCTGTTCTAGGTTCCTCAGTGATAGTAGCAGGGACATTGTCTCTGCGAGTCATTCTTCCCTTACTCCACAGGTATAGATTTTTCAGGTGGGGACCTAGCAGTCCAGAATGAAGAGTGCATCTCCCTTCTGCCTTGCAGATAAGAGTGACAATTCAACTATGCCCTGGCTAATGGGATGTGATAGTTGGAGCTCTATACTGACCTTAAGGACAAGGTTTTGTCTCAGAAATAGCAGAGCAAAAAACCAAGAAATAGCCTGACCTTCCTACTATGTGGCAAAACTGTCATACTAGTCCTATACTACTTACCTTTGTATTTGTACATGAAGGAAAAAGAAGTTTCTATTTTGTTAAGGAAAATAATAATCATGAGTTTCTGTTTCCAACCTCCTATCTCTTAAAGCAGTGGTGTAAGCCAGGCATGGTGGTGCACACCTGTAATCCCAGCACTCAGGAGGCTGAGGCAGGTGAATCACTGCAAGTTCAAGGCCAGTATGGGCCACAAAGTGAGTTCTAGACCAGCCTGAACCATGTAGTGAAACTCTGTCTCAAAAAGACAAACAAAAGCAATGTTGGGAAATCTGTGGTATGCTTGCTGAAGTTGGCTGTTTATCACTGCAAGCTTTAAAAGGTTCACCATCACTGCTTTAAAGCATCCATCACCTTGTCCTCCTACAGCTAAGAGTTAATTCTGAGGCACTGCTACTGATGAGCTGCTATTATGGTTACCTTACATCTGAAAACCACAGGAGCAGGGGAAGAAGCTCAGGACTGCTCTCAGAAGACAGGAGTTCTGGTAGCCGCTCTGTTACTTACCAGCAGGAAGACACACCAAATTGCCTTTCCCAGTGAAGAAATGAACAGTAAAGTAGTACCTTAAGATGATAAAGTTGCCTTGTATTTTTCAAGTTTTGCTAACTAAATTACTACATATATAGTGTTTATTTCACAAATTAATTTGTAATGGCTGAATGAATTTTAATCTACATTAGTAGTCAGTCATCTTGACAACACTGCTTCCCATTTGATGATGACAATGACAGCATTTATGGCACAACAAGAACCTGGGAACTGACCTAAAGCAATTTTCTAGCTTCAATCATTATTAGATAACAGCATAGGAAATCTCAAAATGTCCCTCTGGTTCCAATTTTCCTACTGTTAAGTTCTTGACCATAACTAATGCACAGGTCGGCTGTTCAAGAAAGTCCCAGGCAGCATTGATTATGGCAGCATACATTTGCCCTTAGGTCACATCTCTAAAACTCACTACCTGTACGCCTATAATACCAGCAGGATCACAAGTTCCAGTCCAGAATGAGCTACTTAGCAATAACAACAAATGCCAAAAAATTTTTTAAAAATGGCTGGGGATGTAGCTCCCAGTGAAGGCCCTGGGTTCAATGTCTAGTACCACTTCCCACCGAAAGTCAACAGTAATGTAATTTTTTTTTAAAGTTTGAAGAGAACTGGAACAATATGAGCTTTTCTTTTCTTCTGTGAGATCTGATACATATCTCCTACATCATCAGTTTACCCATTTCGCCCTCAGAGAATTTGAGTTTAATTAAAACAAGTCTTAAAAACACCACTTGGACATAGATTCTAAAACTTTAGAAGCCAAATGAGTATACCAGTTAAACTAAAGATTATCTTTGTACTGTTCAATTTTAAAATAACCTCAAATATATTGTATGATCCTCTAATGATAATGGATAATAGTTTCATTTTTAAAGGTCTCAGATTATGAGGACAGCAAAAAGTTAAAGCTAAATAACGATACTTTCTTTTAATGGCTTACTTTTTCCACATATTCAAACACCAGGTACAATTTCCCCCGCCGACGGAAGGCTTCTTTCAGCTCCACAATGTTTTCTTGTTTGAGAGTACGAAGCATTTTAAGCTCTCGTAAAGTCGTTTCCTTGACTTCTTCATTTTCTAGAATGTAAATAATGGTGAAGATAGATTTAAAATTTTAAACTACTATTCACAGAATTTTAAGAGCACTGAAAAATCCTAATTTAACCTTCTATTTCGAATGCTTCTGTTTAAGAAGTCCACAGGTAGACTATTAAATAATATATTTTTTCGTTGAAAGGATTGAGAGTAAGAAACTTAAAGAAGCAGTTTATTTGACTGGCCTGAACTTGTGTGTTTGTATTTTCTTACATTCCTTACTCCAAAGCATTCATGTAAAAACATGAATTTACAGATGCAACATATGAACCAAGTGTCATTTTGTCTCTAGCTCTCAGTACTGGGGCGGAAGGTATTTAAAAGAGTCATGAAAATCAGCCATATCAGTTTGCAGAGCCTCTGTGTAGTCAGCATCTGTAGCAGTTGTCTTTAAGGTTGGCCACAAGCTTTGGGTTACAAGAGCATTTTATTCCTCAGGCTGGATGTCAACTACTTCAGTGAGCAAAGGCCATGTGCCAGGCATTCACAATGCAGCTTACAGCCAAACTGTTGAAATTCTTAAGAGTTTCTGATCTTCTTTCTGAGTAGCAGCTGCTGTGGGTTCCTGCTGCCTTCCTGTGGCATGTCCATCTGTCCATCCCAGATGGTGTAGCTGTTTCGGGATGGAGAACTTATGTTGAACCAGTATCTGTTCTTCCATACCATCAACTTCACTCATGATAACCTCCACAGACATGAAGGAAGGACAGAAGTCACATTAATTCTGAGGGATTAATGGGCAGAAGAGCCAGGAACCAATATTTCATTTGAAATGGGTGCTTATGATAGCTTCAGACATAGTAGGGAAATTCTAACCACTGTGTTTTCATATGCATGCTCGAGGGTACACATTCATAAACACTCACCTACAATCCAAATGCCCAAAACAGTTTAAGAACTGAAAACTTTTTCTGTTTGGGATAAATTCACTTAGAAGTAACCCTGAAATGACACAAGACCAAGTCATGGTCTTTCGTTTATTGCACTTAATATTAAGTGCGATATATCTGTGTTGTGATATAGAAATACTATTTATTACAGGCACTATATAACATGCCACATTTCCAATCTAAAATCCTAAAGTTACGAATTCTAAAACACATTTTGCCTCTGAGTTTGGTGTAAGAGCCAGAATCCTAGCTTGGCAGCTTAATTTGTGTGATCTCAAATTCAGGCACATCTTCAAGTCCGAGAAGAAAGAAAATGGAGTCTGGGGATGGGTGCAAGAAATACTATGCCTTCTAGCAGACATGCTTTCTAAGGAAGGCACACAAGGAGGAAAAGTTTAAATGGCAATGGGGATAAAGAGAAGGGAGAGTCTCAAAGCAGAGCCAGGAGTGCTTCTCAATTTACCCCAGTCCCTTCTCTCAATCTTTTTTCAAACTGTGTCTAAAGAAAAGGAACTAATAAAAGCAGGGCCTTTGCAACACTGGAGAATCTGTTATAAAGAAGAAATATAAAGTCCACACACTCCTTTTGAACTGGTTACATAAGGCAAAGTATTCTACTTCAGCCAGAACGTGGTTGGAGAATGCTGGAACACAGATTTGGAAAGGACAGCAATGTCATGCTGCCTACTGAAAGACAAAAACCACTGGTAGGAAAGGCTAATGGTGGCAGAAGCAGGGAACTGGCCCTACATGAGAAGAGAGTATGACAGTAGATGCTATCTGCCAGTAGAGGCAAGGGGTAAGATGCAATCGGGGTACAATGCAAGAGGCTTAGAGGATTGCCAGGGAACAAAAGACTAGCTGTTCTCCAAGTTGAGGCTGAGCCCAAGAAGTAGCATCTGAAGGCTATCAGAACACAATAGCAGCCCCAGCTGCTGCAGCTGAGGATCACTACCAGTCTCCAAAAGCAGCTTTTAGAAATCCTTATGTCATACTTCTCTTCCCTTCCCTCATCTTAGTCTTTCAGTTCTGAAAATACCCTTAAACTTCATTTTTCAGTGATAGGGCCTTGTATTTGTTCCCTGTGTCCAGAATGCTCAGACTAATAGCCCAGCTCTTTTTTTCTCTTTTGGTACCAGGAATTGAACCCAGGACCTCACACTTGCTAGGCTGGCACTTATGCCACTGAGCTATATCGCTGGCCAGTAGCCCAGCTCTTTACAGTACTGCTAGCTCCATCAGGTTTCTTTGAGATATTGCTTCTCAAGGGCCTTTGTCAGACTGCAAAGAAAGTAGGCCCCTTTTCCACTATTCCTTGTCACAGTACTCTAGACTTTACTTTCAGTGACTGTTTTACTTTTTTTTTTGGATACACATTGTGGATTCTTTATCTGAAATGCTTCAGACAAGCATTTCAGATTTTGGAATACATACACATATACAATGAGATACCTTGGAGTTGGGACTCAACTCTAAACACAGAATTCACTATGCTTCATATATACCTTATACACACAGTCTGAAGGTAACTTTATATAGCATTTTTGATGTGCCTGCATTTTGCCTGTGACCTTGGTTCAAGTACTGTACTTTCATCTTCTCTCTCAAGCTCAGAAGGCTGCTTATCATATAATAAGATGATTGACTTTATTTTCTTTTATTTACCTCTCACCTAAGTTGTTTCTATCAAATATGACTATGAAAAATGGAGGGTCTAAAAAACTGATAGTACTCTTGGTAAATAATATGTATGTGTGTGTGTGTGTGTGTGTGTGTGTGTGTGTGTGTGTAAAAATCTATATAAAAACCTCAAAAGCATTCCTAAGCTATGCTGGAGTTGTGTACAAACTTGCTAATAAATCCAGCAGATATATCATCCCTAAACAAATGCTTGGTGAATTAGCACATGAAAAGTAAGTAAAAAAGGAACACTTCATATTGTTACCAATTTGTGTCAGTTTTGCTTTGTTAATGGATAAAACCACCCCAGAATGGCTCAGTCAGAATGGCTCAGTCAGAATTGCTTTCATGAAAGAATCATCGGAATAGGACTGTGGGGATCTAGATTTTGGAATCAGCCTTTTAATCAAATGCTAGTATGACATAAAACTTTGGGCAAGTCACTTAGCCTTTCATTAATAAATACATGCCCCCCCCCCAAATTACATTGCTTTTTCCAAATCTAATAACCTATAGTTTCTTTTCACTAAGGTCTTACTAACCAGTAAGATAAACCTAAACCTTAAACTTTCGTAATTTGTTATATATACATCATTCAAATATATACTGACTCCACTTAGCAATGGCTACAAAGACCGAAGATAAATGACTCTTCAAAAGAAGCACACCTAGCATCACCTAGCATGTAGTGCCAGGACAACCTCATTTGACCAGCTCCTTTATGACGGACACAGGCAGTAAAAGTTGAGGCAAGCACTTGAGTGTTAAGATTATAATGAATGGGAGCAGTCAGGAAGTCGAGTTATTAATTCCTGACATGCAAGCAAAATGCACACTTTATTACTTGGACATCCTATAATTTTGTTTCTCTAGGTTCCCAGCCTGTCCTGCACTTTACGATGAATAAATACTGTGGCAACAAATGATTAGATGATAGGGAAATGTCTGCACAGTTCACTGCACATGCTTCTCTCCTCAGAGAAGCAGAAAAGGCAAAGCATTTCAATGCGCAGCTTTTAAAGAAGATAACACAGCCCACCAAAATCACTGTCTCACAACTGAAATAATCCTTTTAGATTCTCTTCTTGGGCTAGCTCCCCCAGCTAACAAAAGAAACAGAAGTTAAGTTTTTTAGGGTGAGCGGACTGAAGGTCACATTCTATGTCCTAGCCTGAGTTGAATACAAGGACACAGATACTGTGGTATAACACAGTGAATTTTAGAGAAAGAGTCACAACACCCAGGGTTAGGTCTAGACTCTGCTACTAAACTGGGCTACTTGGCTTACCACTAAACCCAGGTGACCAAACAGCATAGTATAGGTGGAAAAAAAACTCAACGAAGGTCCTGGGTTTGCATTTTACTCTCAATTAATCATATATAGGCTTGTCATCTGTAAAACAAGGCTATGGTTATGTTGGACTTTATTTTGAAGGTCTCTTCCAGCTATACAAGTCACCACCTCTCCATAATGCCTGTTTATATGCATGCTGACCAACCTCGTCATTGGTTACCACTTAAGGGGTTTAGTGAAGACAGGAGAAGCAACTCTGACAAAGTTATGTGCAGATAAATATATAACTATACTGAGTGAGGACTAAGTGACATAGTAGAAAAAAGTACATTAAGGACAAACAAAAATCTGACCTACCTATATACGCTTATCAGTAAAGCAAGCTAACATACCTAAAAATCAAGAGATTCACTAAAGTAAAAGGTAACACTTTTTAAGAAAGATCACAGAAGCAAAAGAAATTCAAAGATAAGTGATGAAAAGAAAAATCTAAAGATGAACAGAAACTATTGTAACTCTATTTTTAAAGAACTGTGGGCTTGGAAAAGAAATCCAGGAATAGCTGTAACCTACTTTATGAAATCACAAACCTGACATTTTTGTACAGTCAGAGGCCCCCAAAACAGACCTTTAAACAGATCCATGGAAAAAGAAAAGTCAATCCATTCTTGTACAAAACCATAGGGGCACCATGTTTGATTCTGATTGTCCTCACTGAAGAAAAGACATCAGCAGTAGGGCAATTAACACAGCCAGGGATTTTTGAATGCTAGTGTTACTGTTTTATGTACCAAAAAAGATGAGGGCCTTTCAGTCTTCAAAGATGAAGGACAGGTAAAATGACAGTAGAAACTGATGAAATCATAAAAGTACAAAATGGCCACCTGATCTGAAGTTTGAAAGAAATCCATTTTGGGCACGAAAAAGAAGAGTGAAGTCATAACTAGTCAAGACATTCAAGCTCAGTTAATTGAATTCTTGATTAACTGAGATAATCAAAGGTTGGAAATTTTCTTTCAAAGCCTCTCTAATGGAGGCTTCAGGTACTTAAATTTAAGGACTCAAGATTATGGACTGCTGTTATATAACGTTATTCAATAAAAGAGATCAGGATAGTACTTGGTAAAAATGAGAATGAAATAAATTGGAGAAAAGAATAGATGATTAAACATCTTCTAATAATTAAGAATATGTCCATTCCAAGTGAAAAACACTTATCTATAGAAAACATAAGCAGCAGCTGGATATAAAATGCAAGCAATATTATTCGCTACAAAGGCAGAAAAAATCTTAATTCTACACAAAACACCAACTGCTGCATGGTTCTTTGGAGTCAGCTGCTTGGCCATATACTGAGGCCTACTAAAAAATAGGAAGTACCTTCCTTATTGCATTGTCTGTATGTTCACGATCTTAAAGTCAAAAGACAAAAAGAAAAGATCCAAAATGTAGGTAAAAAACAAATCTAGACCATAGGCTTTCCTAAAGAAAAGATTCAAAAGATCATATTTTTTATTCTTGCTGGTCCAAAGTTATCTGGTCTTCAATCAGTACTCTTCGATTATTGAACAGGTTTGGGACAGTGGGTACTTGTATATATCTATGTGTCTGATTAGCAGTGAAAGAAGACTATCATCTGATCATTGAATCTCATACTTCATGGTACAAGACTAGAGTTACAGGAAGAGTGGGAGAACTAGGCTATATATAGTCTGAAAATTACCTTTTAACTAAATAATATCTAGTATCTTTATAATATGTGGTCATTTTTTCCTCTTTGAAAATTTAAGTAGAATAAATTTAATGGAGACCTTTAGTCAGGTGTTTCTTGCCAGTGTTTCTCTGTGGCAACTTAATTGACAAATTTATAATACTCTCAAATTATCATTAAGAATTCACTATCTATGCCTCCAATTTTCAAGAAGCAGAAGCTTTCAAAATAAACCAGCTAAAAATTTGTCGTCAAACATTTATTTTCTTCCCTCCTTCTCCCCCACTTGCATATACTGTATATGTTTCTTACAGGGACTGAATCCAGTCACTATATCTTCAGCGCTTTTTAATTTTTGATTTTGAGACAGGGTCTCAATAAGTTGCCCAGGCTGGCTAAACTTGTGAATCTCCTGACTCAGCTTTCCAAGTACCAAGGATTACAGCTGTGTGACACCATGCCTGGCCCATTCTTTCCTCTCAATAGGAATGCTAGTCCCTAACAAGACAACAAAATCTTTTGGGGACAATTATAGGTAAAGACACTGATAAATTATCTCATAGGGTTATGTCAGGTAACAACTAGATAATAAAAATCTGAGAAAGATGGAGACAGAAAGGAATATAAAAAAGGAAGAAAAAAACTGACAAAATCTTTTGTATATTGATATGGCAAAAAATAGGACTAGAACTAAAAAGTTTAAGTTTGTAAATAACTGGAAACACCTTCAGATCCTGTCAAAGAAATGTTTTTGAATAATCCTCTTTTTATTGTGAAAGTCATTCATTGGGCTAGATTACAATTTTACTGTAAACATTGTTCTTCCTTTGAAAAATGTAATACACCCAATATTTTAAGAACTACCATATAGTTGACATAACTTAATCTATGTTACCTATAGAGTAAACTTGTTTTTATAATTTTAGGTTCATGTTTCTAATTTAAAGTGCCAATATAATCTTGTATTTACTATGAAATTTGGTTGCCATTTGAAACAGTGATCCCTTATCCTGGGCTGGGATACTACAGACTTCTTGAACTACAGAAGTCTACCTCAAAAATGTTTCTGAGACATAAATCTGTGTATACACATCAATTTAACAAGACAGATCATTAGAGCCAGGCATGGTGGCTCACACCTGTAATCCTAGCACTCAGGAGGCTGAGGTAGGAGGACTGCTGCGAGTTCGAGGCCAGCCTGGGTTACAAAGTGAGCTCAAAACCAGTCTGAACTGTATAGTGAGATCCTGTCTCAAAAAGACAAAAACAAACAAACAAAAAAACAAGACAGGACATTATCATAATCTTTCAAGGCTACCAGGAGATAATATATATTCTCATAAAAGATCCCTTGACATTATCACTTAGAGAATACTTTAAAAATTATGGCCCAGACCACGTACAGATTCTATTTCAGTTTAACAATGTTTATATAGAATTAGGTCACTATCTTCATAAAGATTTTAAACAATGGATTTAGAATAATCACCATCGCCATATCACAAAAATACTTTTAAGAATAATTAATAAAAGGGAGGAATTAATAAAAGGGAGAGCTATATGACCAAAGAGCATATAACATTTTTTGTTACAAAGGCTTGACCAAAATATAAAATAAATTAATTCAGAATTAAATAGTTTATAAAGAAGTTGAAAGGAAATCCTCACCTGTATAGAACTATCTATCTACACTTCACACTCCAAAAGGGCTATTCACCACATAGCTACCTTTTTTTCCCATTAAGTAAAATACTACTCTGGTTGGAGCAAATGAGTAAAGACAGATAAGACAGTACTAGATCTTCCAAGTGTAACTGGAAACAGTAAGAAAGTGGGCCTATAACAGGGCTAGAACTAAAAAGTTTAAGTTTGTGAATAATTGGAAACATCTTCAAATCCTGTCATAGAAATGTTTGAAAGTGTCCCTTTCCAAGTATGTGTAGCATACACAGGTGTACATTAAACTTTGGGATGCATGACAAGACTACAGGCCAGTGAGAAACAATTTCTGGCAGAGATGAGTGCAGGAAATTTTAATGTTTTGTTGATTCAGAAAAATAAGGGCATACCGAATGCTTTCCACGTCTAAACTATACATGCATTCCTGGATGCCACAGCTAGACATAATCTCTCTTGCCTTAAAATTATTGAAGTTCAGTGACTCCAATCAGGCACTGAACTGTTTTGTATTCTGTTTGATAATTATTTATTTATAGCTCTTAATTCTACTAATAGGCCAAAGATTCTTAAAAGAATCCATTCCTCAGCTACTTGTATGGCTCTTAAAGTACCTGGCTCAATGCTCAATGAATTTCTATGGACACACTTTTGCTTGCACAGGTAAAATATGTCATATAATTGGAGTACATTGGGATATACTGTACAGAGATGTGAAGAATATGGTACTTAGTTAAAAACCAATATTATACGTGGCCTAAATTGTACTCCTTTTTAAAAGTTTAATGACAATTATTATTTTTGCTGGTAACTGATGCATGCCAATGTGCCCTGCAAGATATGAATGCACAACGAGAAGTCTCTAAACCTGTGTAAAGCTTGGGCTTTGATCCATTGTTGCAATTACTCTTTTTAGGAGATCATCAGTTGTCTCTGGTCAACCTGAATTAGCCCAGATTCACCCCTAAAAGTGTTCATTTCCAGTGGTTTCACAGTGGGTTGGCTAAGGGCTACTTTTTCTATTAGAACCACAGGCACACTGTTTGAATCATGCCCCAGCCCCTAGACCAGAAGCAACTGAAAGCATTTTTACATTGCCTTCCTTTAAGACTGCCCTCACGACAGCTGCTGAAGTTCCCAACTGACATGCACATGCTCTACAGTCAGTACATCAAGTGCAGTTACATCAATACTACTCAATTATCCTGCAACATTTTTGTTAGTAAGTCTGTTGTATTATTCCATGTTTGCTATTTCTAAGATCAGAACAATAAATGGCTTATAAATACAAAAGCTAGAAGAAGGTAGACTATGACAGCTAACTTCATATTGCTAATGAGATATTAAGGTTACTACTATGTTGGTACCTCATACCTAAAAACCATTGTTTTTCAAAGGGCAGGCTGTGATTCACTAGTGGTGGAATCAAGGTATTTGATACCATGACAGGCATTTATAAGAACAGGAAAAAACAGAAAATGAAGTACCTTAAATGAGTATGATAAAGTGGTTTGTGATGCTATTGCTTCATTCACATACAGTAAAGAATGTGTGTGGACACTGCGTTAGGATATAAAATATATTTCTACTGAGGTCTCTGTCCAAAACATTTGAAAAAATGCTGCTTAGAGTTGCTTAAAGGCCATGCATATTTTCATGATCAGTTTTTCTGCATGGTTATCTTCAGATGGCCAAGAGTTAAAATTTAAAAACTAATGAACTATGGAAATGCTGTATTATAAACTTTCAAGTCCAGTACAAAGTAATATACTCCATTTGAAATGGTCTGAATATGTAACCAAGACCTCCAAGTATGATATTTGTTTTTGAGAAGCATTTATTCTCCCAGTGAGTGATTCCATAATGAAAATCACCCTGCCAATACTGCCTCCTACTTATCCTTGTATCTCTAATTCTGACTAGGAGCTACAGATCCAGTATCCAATACTGAAATCTTTTATACGGCATTCACTACTTGCATGAATGACAGAAGTCTTTACTTTTAAGTCAATGTTTTCATTTTAATTACAGTTAGAAACAGTGTGGAAGACTATCTTCCATTTAGAACAAGATTTCCAATGTTAATTTTATCATAAAACACATAGGAGGAAATAAATGTTCCAAAGCAAATCATAATAGATAAGCTATATTCACTTTCTGAGACTGTGACTTTAAATTTTCAGAAATAGATAGGACCTAACCAGCTAAATCCCACCTCTTTCATACTTTCTTTACAAAAACTCAATACAGAAGGAAAAAAACCAGCAACATATATACCTTCACTGTCCTTGAATTTCTTGATTGCCACAATTTCATGTGTTTCCTGAAAAATAAAAAGAGACAGAAGAAAAGTCATTCTTCAGTGTTTTTCCAACTGAGGACTCCAAATGCTTGGGGTATATTCTGGGACAGAATATCAAGAATCCACAGAGTAAAAAACAGATCCTCCTCCTCCCCAGTGCATTTTTTGGTTCCAAAACTCTTTCTTGCCAACCTGCAGACATTGCCAAGGAACTAGAAGAAAAGGGGGCAAAGAGCAGAAATGGTAACAGAATATGAATAAATCATAAATCAGAAGTGTCAAAGCCTTTAGTCTACTCAAAAATGGCAGGACATAAAAGGAATAAAACAAAGTATAAAACAAGACTAAAAAATATTCATATTACCCTTGCTAAAATTTTTGTATATTTTCTTCCAGTAAATTTTCTCACATTGAAATAGTAATATCAGATATCATATATGTTGTTTTTATTTCACTGATACTATATAAATGACATTTTAATCTCATTAAATAACTTTTAAAGCTATCATTTAGAAATTATACTGACAGACTCACTATTTAACCTGTCTGTCAATGAACATATTTCAATATCTGCATCTTTATTTCCACAGAAAAAATTCTGCAGTGTTATAATGGGTTCAAAGGGTATGAACGTTAAAGGTTCCTAAATCCATAGTGTCAAACTGCCATCCAAAAATATAGCACTTCATAGTTCCCTATGAGATTGCTAACTGTACAACCAGTACCAAAACAAGTTGTATATATATTTGTCTTTTTCTTTTTTATCAATACAGGGGATCGAACTCACAACTGCCTGCTTACAAGGCAGGTGCTTATGCCACTGAGCTAAATCCCCAGCCCCAAAACAATTTATATTAAAGAATCTTTGTAATAAGATTAGAGAAGTTTTCTTCTATCACCTGGTAAATGCAACAAGATCAACTAGGTTAACTATTTTTCTTACTGATTCAAGGATGAAAACTTGCCATTTCTCCATGATGTCATGATCAAGGGTTTAGGGTTTTGCTGTTGTTGAATACAAATGATTGCATAACTGAGTTGATTGATACAAACTTTGTAATTATGACCACTATTTTTGTGCTCAAAGTCCTTACTGAAGCCGAGCATGGTTAATACTTAACATTTATGCACCTGGATATTTTAATGATTTAATATCTTTCCTTAAGTCTTTATAATCTATTTTAATATATGACACTGTAATATATGACACTAGATTTAATATAATTTCTAAACATTGAATCAATTTGTCCGACCTCCTTTATATGGATTTCTAGGGTTTTTGTTGTATCTTAGCATCTTTATATACATATTATAGATTTCCAATCATCTCTGCTTTCATCTAGTATAGGCTACTGATTTGTTCTTACACCAAAACCAGTTTAAGTTATTGAGACCTTACTAAATTTTTAAAATAAATTTATTTTTTTTGAGAATACATTTTGGCTATTAAATCTAGTTATAACTATATACTTTTGAGATGATCCACTATATTTGATCTATATCTATTTACACATTGAATTGGCTTTACTGCTTACCAATAGTGTTTTTCTCCTATAGTTATACATATTTAAGTGTTTGATTTACATCAACTTTTTTGTTCAGTAGGAGTATATCTATGAATAGTTTCCTGAGGAAGTACTTTCCTATTTTCTGAACACATGCATCACGTGTTGGTAGGCACAGAATTTTGGGGGAAGAAGTCTTACATTCTTACATAGTCCCTGTAAGCTTGGGCATACTGAAAGCCCTAGAAAATACCATTCACATCATCGACACTGTGAATCTATATGCTTATTAAAGCAACTTAAAAGCAGACAAGAGTGAAGTGTCTTTCAACAAAATCCATACCTTACTTTTCCAAAAGGAAGAAATTTAGGGGTTTTAAAAGGACTGCCATTTCTGATATAATTAAGTTATAATAATAGCACATAAAATGGTCTTCAGTATTATTTAGTGCTGTAGAAGATAAGTCTGTGGCCATTTGGTTTTCATTCTGATGTTGGTAACTTCTTTGTCTCTGCCTCAATATTGATAGAACTTTTCTTTAAAATAAAAATTTGAAATTATCAGAATATATGGTATCTAGAGGGGTATATTTTTTAACTATTACCTGAAAAATCAATGAAATTAGACAAGTTTTCTTCTAGTAATCCTGTGTTTTGTTTCTACTCTTATTTTGCTAGCATTTTCTACTAGAAACCTTACAAATTTTAGGTGGATATTTCATAACTGCTTCATATATATGGGTTTTTATGCTGTCGGATCACTAGTGCCTAGAACAGCAGGCACATAGTAGGTGATCAATATTTAAAGAATAAATATTTAATGAGTGAACTATTCAAAACTGCTAGATCACTTTTGTTTTTGTTCCATTTTAGTTTTCTTGATATTCTTTCCAAATTTCAGCCAACTTTTGCAATTTTTGTCTTGTTTCAGCTTGTTCTGTTTCTGTAGAGTTTATACTCTCCTAGTTCTCCTTCAGACTAAGCACATATCTAAACTTTGCTTGTTACTTGAAAGAAAAATCATTAAATAGAGCTAGGTATTGCTTTTAAATTACCAGGACAATATTTTATCTTGATATGCCTTTTCATGGTGTCATCTCCCCTCACCTCATCTTGCTTTGGTTTGGCTTTTATCTCATCCTGTCCTTAGTAAGATTAAACGATCCACTTGGATTGGCATCTGGCAGCAAAAAACAACAGTTGGAATTTTTAGCCACCTGACCTTCAAATTCAGACTGATGTACCCAACCTGATTTCAAACCTTGGATTCTTAGCAAACATTCTTCTTATGGGGGTTGACTGTTCTGAGACCAGACGGTCCAGTTCTTTGAATAAGCCGCCAGAGGAGCAAATGCTATTTGCTCTTTCCCACATGGCTGTAGAGAGCACAGTTCCTAGTACTGTCTGCTTCCCCACACTTCTCTGTGGAGGCTATGTGCTTCTAATCTTTCTCTCCTTGCCTTACTGCATTAGGGACATTATAGTCTCTGAAGTCACCTGAACGTATAGATGCTAATGTGGGCTAGTGGGGGACTCAGAGCTCTAGCTCCTTGATGAGATGACTGCCTGTTGTCCAGCCTTCTATAGGCATGGGTGCAAGTCATTTTCTATTCCCTCTGGATATTCTGCCTGATTCAGGGTCACAAAATGGAAGTAAACTATGGCATTCAAGACTATGCTCTGTACTCCATTCCTGCTAATGAAATGAATTCCTCATAGACAATGCCAATAATCTTTGCTCTTTTGTTTTTTGAACCATTGTGAGTCTGAAGTTTTAAAAACATCTTCATGGATACTTAGTGCAGAGGTAGGAGGCGATCATATGCCAAGCGTTATTACTTGTTCTCCCACCACCCTGAGATGCTATACATAAGTACAGACAAAGAAGAAAAACTACATGAAAAAGAACTCTGAGATCTTATGCTTTAAATTCAGTTTATTCACAGAAGTATGCCATTGCCACCACAACGTCTGCAACAAAATGTTACCAGTTGTAGTTAGCTAGATAGGCATTAATTTGCTACTTGTTTTCGTGTTTTGCCACATTTAAATAACAAGATAATTAAAAGATAGCAAGATAAAATATCTCAATAATTCATTAATCTGCAGCTCATCCTTAATTCTATCACAAAACTGGAATTATATAATTAGAAATACAAAAAGAAAAATTAAGTATTAAACAGGCTCCTGACTTGTGCTATATCTGTCTGTGAGTGAACAAGGTATAACTTCCCAGAATTTTTATATATCACAGTATTTAATACTTCCCAGAATAATTTTTTTTCAGCTAAAAGAAAAAATCTAAGAGGCCAGAGGTATAGTTCAGTGGCACAGCATCTTCCTGGCAAGCACAGGTCGTGAGTTTGATTCCTGGTACCCCCCCAAAAAATTATTTTTATAAAAAATGAAAAAATAAATGCTATCAGTAGTAACTAACACAAAACATATCCGATAGTTTTTTTAGTACTCCCCCAAAAATCTAGCCTCAGTCACCAACCATAATGAACAGAGAAGCTGGTAACCATGAACTCACTGGTGTGGTTGACTGTCAAAAGCTCCAAGTTATTGTTTTACTCTCAGTATTAATTTTTCCCTTAATATTCCAAGAAAGCAACTAATTGATATTAATAGTTATAAATTTTACTAAGTTATTTCAAAATGTAGTTATGTAACAGTGCTCTGGAACAGTGAATTCTTTAAAATGATCATAATGCTGTGTAAGAAAGTAGCAGAAATTACTGCTTTAAATGTTTTACTCTCTAGGTTATAATATCCAACATACATCATGAAATAGAAAAAAACCAAAGTATTGATTCTATTTTATTGTACTATTCACAGATTAAGCCAATTCAAAGGTTATGCTCTACAAGTGAGTCTCTAATTAATCTCTGAGGAAGCCCTTCCTTGGGACAAATGCTTATTTCTTCATCCAAATAACAAAGAATACACCTTGACAACCAAACTATTTTAAATATGTCAGTCCATGTTTTATATAAAAATATTCCAGTGGATATTTAATTTCTTTCACACAATTCAACAGGAGCAAAATCCTGCAAAAATAGGTATTGATACATTATAGATTTGTATGAAATCTGAAAAAGTAAGGTTTATTTTAGATTATATTAAATATTGTAACCTCTGTGCCAGGCCCCATGCTAAGTGCTTCCTAAGAATTACCTCATTTAATCTTCAAATAATCACTCTGAAAGCGATCTTATTATACTCATTTTACAGATGAGAATACTAAGATTTCCAGTGAAGTACCACAATTTTGGTACATACACATCATATAGCAGAGCTGGTATTTTTAAACCTAGAGAGACTGTTTCTGGATGCCATTCTCAACTATGAGAATGCTCTACTGTCTTTGCAAACCACAGATGTAAATTTTGTTTGGAAAAAACAGATTTTGAAATGTACATATCTTTTTCCCTAAAAATACCCCTACCAAGGAGGAATCATTATTTCTCTTTCATGTTTTCTTGAAAAACACGTTAGCACCAACAAATATTTTCT